GGCGCGCGCGTGCATTGTATTATACAGGGTGTTCAAAAAAGATTGGGACGGCAAATTATCTCGGAAGATGTTTTTCAAAAAAAAAAGTTTCAAACAAAATAGTCTGTCCCAACCTTTTTTGAACACGTACCCTACAGATATAGCGGATGTACGGCCAAGTATCGACTAACAATGCAAGTATGCGCATGAATGTTGAATTGGAAATCTCGAATAACATATTGTTAAATAAGATAAATATTTGTTTAATCTTTTTGCTTTCAGTCTAAATACTTAACGAAATGCTTGGAGTAGGAAACAATGACAGTGGACCATTGCTTGACAAATGGGATATTGTATGTATAAAAAAAGGATTACACAAATCTCATTAATTTAAGCGCCGCGACTGTTGGATCCCTTCTGTCATGACAGACGGCCGGACGTTTCTGCAGAGGTACCGGGGTAACATAAACGACGCGTTGTCCTTCTTCTGCCCAATACGTCGCAGCCTACGCAGGAAAATGCGTTTTCCGCTTTGTATGAAAGTTCGTAGGAATGGTGAAATATCGAGAAATAAACGCGATTTCGGCGACACCGTGACACAGTTGGTCATGTTAGAATCCCTTGGATTGGACAAATAAATTGCGTACATACCTCAAACATAAAAGATTTGCTCAACTCTTTTGGGCCGCACAACAGCGTTGTCTTGACTGCATTTTTCGAAAACATAATTGCAGTTGGTATGTAGGGGTAACCTATATAACTAACCCTAACCTGTATTACCTACAACACATATAAACACCGGCCTCAGAATTACAAAGAAGCTAGAGATTGCTTCATTCGCCACAAGAGTGATAAGCGACATATTCACATATATAACATACATACATATTCGGTTATTCGGGACAGGATATCCTAACCTGTGTCTCTCGATCTCGGTGAATTCTACCGCGTGATCCTCCTTCTGCTTCTACCAACTTCTACTGTCCATTTGGTTCACGTGTCGCTTGTTCTCTTCTGGTTATTATAAATTATTACGCAATACTCTTGTAGTACATATCAACATATGTATGTCGATTTTCGAAAAAACGAAAGGTGAAAGTATATCAAGGGAGCAAGGGAGGGCCGCAAGACCAGAAAAACTAGCCGATAGTGATGCGAATAAATTACTGGCGTCAGCCGATTAGGTCTGCAAAGTGCAAATTCTAATGACGAATAACGATTCTTAATCATACAATTAATTGTAAGATATTACACGCACGTGCTTTTTGCTTTATTGAGGTTTTAGTGTGGAAAAATGATCGACTGCAGATTTTTAAATAAAATAACTTTAATAACTATATTAGAACTGTATCAAAATTTGGTAACATCGGGATGGAATTACATAGCACTGCACACGATAGCAGTTTATATAAAATTTGCGTTGCTATGTATGCACGTATGAAATATATTACATGTACATGCGTGTGAATTGAAATAAATAAATATGAAATTAAAAGACACGATCCTGGTAGCCGCTATCGGCCATACTAGAACTAGGCTTAGATGGTCCTCCAGGCACTTGATGATGCGGGTGCCGCATATGACCAGGTCGTCTCGGTGGTGCCAGGTATTCAAACATACTCTGTGTATGCTGCGCCAGCATCTTGCTGAGATCGCATGGCATTGGATCGGTCCAGAAAAAGTCATGATTTAACGCAGAATCAGAATCGCATCTTTTGCTAGGGTCAAGTATTAAAAGTTTGTCCAACAAGTCACAGGCGTAAGGATCCTTTAAATATGGCTTCAGTCTATCTTTGACCTGTACAAAATCATTAATTAATCAATCAATCAATATCGTGACCAATGACATTTGTTAACTCAAAATACAAAATTCAAAATGCAATATAAAAATTGATTAATCAAATTGATTTGATATTTATGTTTAATTTAACTTCAATATGTGTACAATTACATATGTAATTATAGCTTGTTCAAGATGCAATATTAAAACAGTGAGTTTCACACAAGCTCTACCTTTCTTTTCTGCCCTTTCGGAAGATCCATTTTGGTAAATAGATCCAAATTTTCAACACCAGGCCATACCTCAGTCGTTATCGAGCCGCACAATTGCGAAATCAATATAAGCTGTTGTTGCTCGGTGTTCCCCTGCATTATAGGAGACCTGTGTGTGGATTTAAAAGATTTGTATATACGTACGTGTGTGTAAAATGTGATTCATGATGCGCATGAAACAGAAAAATTGATTGCAAAATACAGCAAGTACAGACCTTGTCCACATTTCTGCCATTATACAACCAGCGCCCCACAAATCTACAGGTGGTCCATAATTTCTGTCACCAAGTAGGAGTTCTGGCGGTCGGTACCAAAGAGTGACAACTCTATTGGTGTAACGATTTGAATGGCCGTTTTTTGCACTGAATGCTCGTGCCAAACCAAAGTCAGCTAACTTTAATACGCCATTCTTTGTTATTAAAACATTAGCGGCTTTCATATCTCTATGTAAAATCTGTGAAAAATGAAATGTGTTACGTTTGAATAATTATAAATGTAACAATGTCAACAACACCGAGATGATAAATCAACACACATTATCATGATCATCAATCCTTATCCAACAAATATGATAAATAAAACTATTGTATTATGCACAATGAGGATATAAAATATATGTAATCTTAAAAGATCATTATTATTATGTTAGAAATTATTAACCTTTAATCTTTTTATATTACTTTCTGTTAACTTTCTGAGATTCTCTTTTCTAGAAATAGACATCTTTAAAGGGATGTAAAATGTTTAATAACTTCTTACCTTATTGCTGTGTATATAGTAAAGACCATTTAATAACTGTTGCATAACCTTTTTTATCTCGCCTAAACTAAATTTCACATTTACATTTGACAACAAACCAGCCAAGTCATGTTCGCAGAAATCAAACACCAAGTAAAAGGTAGACCGATATCGATTATACTGAGTTGCTGAAAAGGTGATGAAATTAATTACATTTTATATATATCAAAATATTATTGATCATTTCAATTACTATTTCATGCTAATTATTTAAAATTATTTTCTACACAACAGACACTCTCTCTCTCTCTCAAATAATTATTAAGTTATAATAGTATAGCTTCATGTATCCCTCAAAGTATTGTATTTCAAAAAAAAAAAAAAAAAAAAAGACAATCTCTACCTCTACGTGTTTATAATTTACTTATAATTGTACAATAAAAATTAGATCTTGGGTAAGATATAAGAGAGTAAAATATATATTTACCTTTTGTCCTGCAAATCTCTATGAGATTAACTACATTCTCATGTTTCAGCAATTGTAATATCTTTATTTCACGTAAAGCCGTAATAGGAAACTGTAATAACATTTTGAAAGTGAGCAAAGATTTAATAAAAAATTTATGACACAACGTGCTAAAGTAATCTTGCAAATCTTGGAATGACAATCTTAAATGATTATATAATAATATAAAGCAAACTCACTCCTTCTTTCTCATTGTCCATTAGTACCTTTTTCATTGCAACAAACTTTTTATTTGTTTTCTTGTCCTTGGCTTTAAATACTTCTCTGTAAGAAGGAAAAAAAACAGATACAAATTAGAAAATGAATCGAGTCAGAGAGAGTAGAAGAAACAAAGAGTACAACTGCTTGCTTATTAATCGTCAAATCGATTGCATTATTGAAAAAAAAATCGTAAATATGCAATGTAAACCTTTAACCTCAATCGTGACTCACAGGCATGGTAGTGCAGTATAGTGCAGTATAGTTGATATGTTAAAAATTGATTTTCAATAAAATGATAAATATATAAAGATGTAAAAGTAAAAATGTTATGTTTTAATTTTGTTTCTATACATTTATAAAATGTCCGTTTAACAAGAAAAACAACTTATAAAAATAAGACTTTAATTTGTTGTCAAGTTTGTTGGATTCGACAGCGTAAAGAAGGATCAACGATGACAGTTAAAAGTAAATATAACAGTAAACAAATTAAATTACTTTTCGGACAAACGTGTTCAAATGAAATATCAATAAACGCTAGAAAAGTCTCTTGATAATTTATAACCTCAAATATCGCATGATTTTAAACGTAAAATTTTTAATTACCCAAAGGTTCCTTGGCCAATTTTCGCTACTTTTTCATACTTGGAGGATTCGTCGCAATATGGAAAATCGAATTCCTCAATGTACTTTTCCTTTTCCTTCGGATTCATCATCATTTTGTACACGATATGTATGTACTACACGTAAGAAGAATCGGAAAGGAGAAATCCACAATATAGAATACGATAAAACACCATAAAGCACAGAAGGCAAAGAAAGCTGAAATCAGAGAGAGAGAAGCAGAGCGGCCACGCCGGCCTTTCGGGTAGGACCGGCGATCTTCGCATCTCCCCGTACACTAGCGCCCCACGTCCACGTTTTCAAAAAAGGAACTACGTACTACGCTATCTTATAACATTATCGATCAAATCATAGGCATCATCAGAGAACGTGAACGTGGTTCGTGTCCGTGCTAAGGGTGCGTTTTCACTGAGCAGCAAGCGCGTTTACGCGTTTCGCGCACGTCGCGAATTAATCAATCACAGGTCAGTATCCTTAAGCGTAAAAAAATTTTAGATTCAATGAGTTTTGGAACGCAGTTCGAAGCGTAATTTCAGATAACGCGCGAGAGTTTCTCCATCTCGCTAATCCACAAGTGCCGTGGTCAGCATCTGACAACTGTCAGATGGCAATTGCATTCATTTGACATTTATGCACTTGTGATTACGTTTGTGCGGTTGAGAAATGGCAGCAGAAATAAAGCCCGCGCCGGGAGTAAATCACGATAAATTCAGTAGCAGCCGCAAACCAGTCCTTCTGTCAAAATTGGAGGGCTGCAGCGATGACGTTAATGCGGCTATCATTATCCCACAGGAAGAGGGTGTAATCAGTGTTTGCGATGACAGGTGTGTAGTACCCATCACGTAGATATTTTCGACAATGTCGATATATTTTCTTTGAGGACTTACTTTCTCTTTCTTGTGACGAATCTCTATATATCGTCTCTTATCTCTACATTGTGTCTCTCTTTATCATTTTCGATCTTACGTGCCTCTATTGACGGAATTTCTTATTTTGGTTATAAAAATTGAGCGTAATTTTTTGATTACATGAAACCTTGAATCCTGTCCTATTATTATTTGACATTGTACCGTTTGCTATATATTGTTATGTATTCACATATATGTGCTTATATTGTTTGCATATCAAATGATATCGGATCTCTCTCTCTCTCTCCCTCCCCCCCCCCATCATACATGAATTGCACATGACTTTTTAAGTATGTACAATTCTTTTAAAACGCGACTTTTAGTACAACACTTCTCATCATTTGTTTGGACTTTTTCTTATAGGACAGTTAGAGTGTGGTTGAAACGGGATTCTGGTCAATATTGGCCGAGTATTTGTCAATACATGCCAGCGGGTGCTACCTCTATGCACTATTGCGTAGAAACGAGGCAACTGTTTGTAGGCCTAGATAATGGAAGCGTTAATGTATGTCACGAGTCACATTTTTCCTTCTTTACTGTTCGTCGTTAGAATTGTACATAACTTGGCTTGTTAAATTTACAGGAATTTGTCTTGGAGCAAGATTACAATCGAATGACAGCTATGCGCGATTATTTAGCGCACCAAGCGAGAGTCACAGGAATCATTTTTACGGCAGATTTCGAATGGGTCTTGAGCATAGGTCGCGATAAATTATTTCAATTGCACAGTTCCGAGACAGGACAGAAATTGGGATCGTACCAAACAGATGCCTGGTATACCGCTCTACAGTATCCTTTTGTCGAAAGTCTTTGCAGGTTTTTTTGCACAAATGAAAAAAGCTTTGGTAGGAGTTTTGTATTTGTGATACATGTGAAACGTAGCACTATGAGAAACTGACTTAACTCGCATACACGTGCGTGTACAGATTTGATGCCCAATCCAAACACGCTTTCGTAGGAGACTATTCCGGTCAGATAGCCATGCTGAAGCTGGACAATAATGGCGTTACTTTCATTACTACATTAAAGGCACACACGGGAAGTATCCATACGTTGGCATGGGACTCGGAAAAACAATTGCTGTTTTCCGGTAGTTTTGATCAAAGCATCATCGTTTGGGACATTGGAGGTCGCCAAGGCACTGCTTACGAGCTTCAGGGACACCAGTAAGCGCGCGCGCGAAATTCTTTAAATTTTCGTTGGTCGGAAATATTACTTACACTACTTTCGAATTTACTACATGCTCTGAAAAGGAAGAAAAAGAAGAAAAAAATGGAAAATTTCGCTCTTTCAGTAACAAGGTAACGGCGTTATGCTACGCAAGCGTCGAACGTTTACTCTTATCCGGAGGTGAGGACGGCGTGATCGTCTGCTGGAATATGACGGCAAATAGGAAAGAAACCGCGGCTTGGGTCGAGTCCGATATCTGTCAGGTACATTTTCAAGAGGCCTTTGAGAAAAAGAGACCTTTTTTAAAGTCTCATAGTCGCTTTGCAACATATAACATTTAATTGTAAGATGCAAACGAAATCCAGGCTTGCGGAAGACCCTTCTTCTGGAATATAAAAGCTATGATGGATCAACGACAGTTGGGATTGAGACAGCATCATTGTCGCTATTGCGGTCGCGCGTTGTGCGCTCGCTGCACATCGCAACGGATACCAATACCGGCGATGGGCTTCGAGTTTGAAGTAAGAGTCTGCGATCAGTGTCATATACAGCTCAAGTCGGAGAAGTAAGTTCAGTCAGAAGCATCGCCCCATGTTTTCCCTTAAGATAACAGCACGTAAAGATGCATCGCGAAACATAAATGTGACAACATACAATAGTTGTCTTTAATTTATTTACAGCCAATCGTCGCTGGCCTCTTTCCACGATGCCAAGCACAGTGTGGTTGGGATGGATTTGGACGCTCCTAGGCGAAGATTGTTGACCATCGGCCAAGATCGCGTTATTAAAATTTGGGATGTATCCGCGCTCTTTCAGTGAATTTTCACGTGTATGTATGTATGTTGTTATAATCTAAATTGATACGAATCAAATCACACAGAGGGGTATCGTCATACTCGAAAGAAAATACTCTGGAACCTATTTTTGTGATTATGTAATTATAATTATGCCTGTTTGTGTGAGTCGGTGATCGGTGATCGATCGTAATTGCGTAACTCAAGTTGAACTGACGAGCTGATAGAAAATACAGAGAGCGATCGATCGCGAGTAATCGTTTGTCAGTTTGTTGATAATGTTGATAACGCCGGTGATAGCCTGCTTAATCCATGTCCGGATTTTCTGCATAAGATATCAGGAAATAGTTGAAAAGAAGACCAGTATGGCGCAAGCACGTTAATTCAGTGGCATTATCTTTAAACATGTTGTATATTGATAGAAGAGCGTTTACTTCCAGAAAAATGTTTGTGCGACTTTGCAACGTGCGATTACACAAACGTAAACAGTAGTCTGTGGATATATGTATATGTATGCAAGGTGAATGGGGGGGGGGGAGGGGGGCTGCCTTCGATCAGGATGACGGACGACACTGATAGTCACAACACAACGCAGGTGCAATTAACAGTATTCAAATATCTTTCGAAGAGTGTATGAATTTGATACTTTTTTTTTTATTTTTTTCAATAACACATTTATACATGTAAATCAAACATGATTTCGAGACGGATTTCTTTTTATTAAATTCCCGAATAAATTTCTTGATGTATCCCCCGATTTTTTCGAAAGCAAGATTTTTTGCAAGATTATGCACATATGTTGTTACACACACACACACACACAGCGCGAATCAAGGGGTCCATATCTGAATTGCTATTTTGCAACTTTATACATCGCAATCATTCATATTCTACATTTTGTTACTATCAAAGTCTTAAAGATATCTTTACGTTGTTTAAATACATTTTTGATTAAGAAATAAGAAGAAAAAAACACAACCAAGAGAGTACTGGTTGGCAAATACTGATCAGTGGTGTAAACATCGACTATTTTAACATGTTTTATCTAATATAGGAATAGAGAGATGAGGGAAAATATTTTAAGAATTTCCAATACGTTTTCTACATTACATCCTACATTATTAAACTATTAGCCATTTGAACATATAAATCTTTAGCTATATTACCTTTGAATCGACTCAGATAAATAGTGATATGTGTCTTGTACCAAGTCCTAGTCCTATTTGTTATATAACTCATACAGGATTGTTTAATATTATCGCATCGAGAGAATGCGAACCAGGCAAGAGAGTAATCACCGGTGCAGTTGAATGTTAATATTGGTTACTTTCTTGACTATATAAATCTTCACAAGTACAATAAATAGGTACAAGCTATGCAAAATTAATTCGTCCCAATTTAACAATTTTTCACAAATATTTTCTGTTGTGATGAAATCAATATATTGTATATAATTTATTTTCTCCAACGCAAAAAAAAAAAGAAAGAGAAAAAAGAAAAAGAAAAAGAAGAGAAAGAGAGACAATGTTATTTTTACTACACATATTTTTGTTGCGTATCTTGTTAGCGGATAAAAATGTGCAACAATTGTGAAATGGTCAAGATGTTAATGACGTAGTGACGATGAGCTTCCATCGAATTTTATGTGCTGAAATATTCGTATAGATACTATATAGGCAAAGTATTGTAGCAACGGAAAGCTTCGTTTCATCGTTATACCGCCAAGGGAATGCAGTTGTGTTAATCGGGTTTTATCACCTCGCGCGATAAATAAATAAATATATATATATATATATATATATATATATATATATACATACATAAAATGCATATCTTGTACCTAACATATACGTACGTATGTATAATTATTTTGTGACGATCACCATCACCGTGTTTTCTCTACTGCGATTTTGCTAGAGAGACGATCGCTGTGGAAGAAATCATCCTTGTTATCAAAATGTATCTAGATTTATTCGCAAGATAAATCTTGCATTTTGAATAGCCAGACGTGCGAATACAATTCGCACGGTCCAAATACACTATCTACATTGAATACAAATGTACCGTACGTTTGTAAGCTCGATTAGAGAACATTATAGCAAGTATTATCGCATTTTTGTATGTTTTGCTAAAAAGTATGTATATGTATATTACTTAAACATAATACATGGACGTGCTTCTTATTATAAACATTACGACCAAGCAACTATATCATTTATGTCGGATGACTACTTGAAATTCTTGGAAATTCGTAGTTGTATGCGTAAAGAAACTGACGGATAGATGTTAAACCATACGCTACGACAGTTGCTGTCCGCTACCGAGACACAGTACACATATTAAATAAATTGCGAAAAATGTAAAAAGAAGCGATTAAGCCGCGCGTGTATTCTATACGTATTCTACCCACACACGTCGAATTGATACAAAATGGAAATATATTTTCAATGTAAAACAGCTGCGCAATCTTGTCGTGATTTTTCTTCAACAAAAATGAAGAGTAATCGAGTTTTTTTTTATTTTTTATTTTTTTACATATAAATTGCTCTTCCTACTGTGATAGACGAAAGAAAGACGTGGGGCTCTAGAATATATTCAAATAAAATATTGTTAATTTTTTTCGTTCACGTGGTTCGCGTGTAAGCCGTCGACAAGACAGGTCGCGGCCGATAGAGATGCCGAGAGGTGATCGCAACAAGCCGCACGCACGAGCAGACAGCTAATCTGTTACTGTCTATTATACCTGACTGCAGGAAGCGATTCGACTTGGCGAACGCCACGAACGCTTAGCCACCAGTCGGTCCGTCACAGTTGGTTGTGTACGTGGTACCGACGTATATCCCCTTGCTGTAGCGAGCGTGCGAGCGCAGTGGGGAAGCCCGAAGCGGTCCGAAGCGCGCGCGAGACCTTACCACCACCTCTGCGCTTAGCCAGCTTCCACCTGGCACTCCTGGCAGGTTGGCACACCCGATTCGAGCCGAACCGAAGCCGAGCGGACGTGTTAATGTGCCGGTTCACCGTGGTTCCATCCTCCGGAATAACGACGACGACGACGACGACGATCGCTTTCTTCGTGACTACTGCGCGACTCTGTAGATCGCAATCGGTTGTTTGCTGTACCTCCGTGCAATCCCACCTCGGTTACACTCGTTTACGTTTAGACGCTCGTGAACGCATCTCAATCTCATCCGTTCATTCGTTCATCCGTCTGTCCGTTCGTTCGTTCGTTCGTTCATTTATTCGTTCATTCGCTCATCGTGCTCATCTCCGAAGAGACCGGACATGAAAATCGAGTGCTCGTCGAAAGTCTAGTGCCAGTGTAGTGTCTCTTAATGGAGCGTATTGCCGACGTATAGCCGCTCTCGTCGTGTTTCTCGTTACTCGCAACAGGTACGTGGTTGTGCAAGTCGGCGATTCACGTGAGACAAATTGTTCCTTCATGCCCTCCATCGTCACTCCGATTGCAGCCTCGAGAATCGGACAAGCTTATTATTTCTACAGGACGAAACGGGATACGCACATTCCAGATGAACAAAGCGGAAGTGGGCGTGATGGCATGGAGGAGCATTCGGTACCTCGTTTTGGCAATGAGTGCGCGTAATCAGTTTAACGTTGAAAAGGATGACGAGGTTTATCATCGAAAAAATCTGAAAATTTATAGTTACATATTAGAAAAAACTGAAAATTTATAGTTACATATTAGAAAAAATAACGAATTTCGGACTGATAGTCTGTTCGTGATAGTTTGTTTCTTAAGAAATGTAATTATGACTTTTCGAAAAACTCGCATTGAATCAAGTTCAATTATTTCTCGAATGAAAGTCGTTCTTAGAGATGACAAGAGAATAACGAAAGCTTTTCTCTAAAATGAGTTTGAAGTTGCGCTCAAAGTACCGATTAGCCTGACTTTAACCGCTACTGTCGTAACAATGATTAGCAAAATGTTAAACCGTTCTGCTAGGTTGACTCTACATAAATCTTCTCACGTAAATGTGCGAAAACAAACTGTATTTAGTGCCGGACTGATCGGCATTTAAAATTTAAATCAAGTATACAAGTCTCAAGTTTTGCCCTTTCTCTGGTTTTAAAGCTAATTTTACCGCATGTGGTTGTGATTGTGAATCGAATGCATCTTATCCATGGAGACAGTCGCTTTAATAGAAAAAATTCAAGTATGACGAATCCCCCCGATTGGTACACGTATGTACATACGTGTGAATATCGCGGGCGATAGGTGCTACGATAGTACATATAGTAAGAGATAAGTAAGTATGACGCGATGAGATAAAAGTAATGACAGGTTGACTTGAGACTCCTCGTTTGTATACATATATAAGGTGTCTCATTTCTCACGGATTATTTTATCACGGTAGACTCTCTCTCTCTCTCTCTCTCTCTCTCTCTTCCATTGTAATGATATATGACCATGAAGACTGCAAACAAGTCGGTCTCTCTCAATATTCTTGCAAAGATAAAATCTATTTCAAATTGATGAAAAAATCCATAAAAAGTGGGACACTTTATATATACTATGCTGATAACAATATTCACATTCCTTGGAACAAACTTCGTCTTTATCTCTTTCTAATAATTTTCTATTGGATCTATACGTATCGATATCTATAACGCATTAACGGTAACCACACGAGTACACTGCGATATCGATATTAATTCACATTATAATTACTATTATACTAATTAATACAAACAACAGTTAAAATACGGCTTCCAGAACACATTCCCTCGGGGCTTTACGTCTTCTCGGGAGGGCGATAAAAAACGCGCAAGCATTGTATGGGCTCTTCCGGCGCGGCGATGTTGCATTCAGTCGATCTTCCGCGCCTCGTTTGATCACCCGTTAAAGTCTCCCGCGTGGCGCCTACGCCACTGACCGTTCTCCACAGATATTTTCAAAGTCAATGACTGCGACTGTGACTGCTCTGTGCTCACGCCCGTGCTTCAAGTTCATGGCGAGACAAGGGTGTCCGTCTATAAAATTAAAACAATGATTTTATAACTCGAACGTTCTCGAGACAAAACGACATGATAATTCATTCATTCCGCGATCACATTAATAATTTCATTCGACTCAATCGTCTATTGCGAATCTCATTTTTTTTCTATAATCTATATAATTAACAATGCTACAAGGTCGTTTAAAAATGTTAAAGATCTCGTGAGATACATATATATATATATATATATATACAATTAATCGATTATTAACAGATAACAGGAAGAATGAAATTAAAATGCGACTTTGGATCGAATGATAAGATGCTCAATCGAGTAAATGGCACGTGTCTATTTGAATCGCTAAAAGACTTAAGAGTTCGTGCACACGAAACGTAACGCATTCGTAATTAGTGTCAGAAAGATGATTTCTTAGAATCTTAAATCAAACAAAAGTGCCAAATAATTTTCATCAATTTTTTCCTTAATTAAATTTTTCTTTAGGTTATATTTAATCATTTTAGTAGTATGTTGACAACACAGATGTTGACAACTGATTAGTCGAAGGAGAAAGATAATATTGATTTAAAACTATTAATATATTCTCATATTATTTGAATCTAAAAGATTCAATTCTCTCTCTCTCTCTCTCTCTCTCTCTCTCTCTCTCACACACACACACACACACACACACACACACATCTCTACTAAAAACAAATTGTTCATATTACCTCGACAACACAAACATATGTATGTATCTATTCGCTTAGATTCAACCCACGAGCAATATCTTCTGTCTTTTACTCTTTGTTCTTCTAAAATCGCATGGCTCAGCCAGTTGACACATTCCATCCGCGCGACGAATTAAATTTAAATTGCTTCAATTCAGACGTCGGAAAACTGACCTTTTTGGATTCTAATAGATGTAGATTATATCAGTGCGGAAACCGCCTGTATAATGCATTATCGTAGAAAAGAAGTCTAGAGAGAGATTTCGTTATTATATACATATTATAGTTTTGAATAAAATATCAAAAAATTGCAAATTTTATTTACTTTAAACTGCAAAATCTCATGAATCTCTTCCTCACACAATTGATAAACATGTGAATTTATAAGAAATATAAATTAATCCGCAGATATCCTTAAAATTTACAATTCACTTATTACGTAAATGTTATACATTACTTTTCGAATTGTATAGAAATTTTGACTCATGTGGAACATGAACCAAAAATAATATACCACCTACGCATCGTGCTGAAAAGAATGCTTTTTCTGCTTGATTTTTGTTTAAATATTAAATCGATGGCTCAACGGGATTAACATGGCATTCAGTGATGCTGGAACTGATGGCTATGCCAGGAGGAGAAGGGAGGGGGGGAGAAAAAGCGAGAGAGAGAGAGAGAGAGATCTCAAGAAGATTCTCGGTGAATCTCGACGGAGCCGTATGGCACGGTAATGCAAACTACCTAACCCACTTTTGCGAACAGGTTTGCAATGCTTCCACGGTAACGGTGATCGACCAGACATCACGGACATGCGTGCCGGGATGCTTCTCTTCCAAATAGATGCAGCGACACGCGTCTATAACGCGTGTACCGTCAGATTCTTGGGACTGATGAGCTCGAGTACTCTTGGTACTCGTATAGTCTCGTAGCTACGATGTATTCTCACGGAAACTCGCGAGTACTCTTTCTCATATCTCTCAAGACTTTATACGTAATAGGCCATTCCTAAAATCACTGCAGGCCAAGTCTGTATCATCTATCGTTAGATAAAATTATTGTATAAAGAAGTGTACACATGTGTGAAGAATGCGCACCTCACTCAATTCGTTATATTTATTTATTTATTTTTTTGTTTTTAGGCGGAGTGCCGACAACCACGACTAAGAGATGGTCATCGTCACACGGGTAGGTTCTTATTCGCGATCTTGTAAAGTAAAAATAAAGTTCACTTTAATTAATCCGTTATTGCGTATTATTTTGGTACTGCTGCGAGGTAAGTGATAGATGGCATGTACGTGCGACGGCATAAGAGAGAACACGATAAATTTCTATTCGATAAATTTCGTACAGATTAAACGATAACGCGTAAACGCGTTATTTTAAACGCAAGAGTTTTTCCAAGTCCTCTCTGAAGAACGCGCTTTAAAACATTAACAATTTATAGATAATTTATCGATCATAAGATGAACAATTTTCCGCGGAGGGAAAGCAATAGAAATTTGCGTCAGTAAGCGCGTTGACCAATCGAAAATCGGACGGCAAAACTAACAATAAATAAATTCGATGAAGCTGCGCACGGCAGAAGCAGCAATCTCTCGCGCGGCTCAATCCATTACATTTACCGCTTTCCTCGTCGTTCTCCTCGAACACGGTCAGTAGGAATCTGTGACGAGTGAAAATAACCGAACAGGAGTCATCGTGTTCTCTCGTTGTAAACAATGATGTACCGCTAAGTAACTCTAGTCTTGGTCGTCCATCGTTGGATGGTGCGACCAAGCGCTCCGCTCTTTATTTGTGCAACTTGTTTTCTGATTATTTTTTTCACATCGAAACGGTCGATCTCTCGGATCGAACGTTTCAGCTATCTGAAACTCCAGATCTAACAATAAAATATAGGGAACACAATTGGGATTTAAAAGGAAAAGTACATCTCCCTCGCGATGCAATCGGTCATTTCGAATTTATATTTATATAAAAGACCTCGCATTATTACTTCATCGTTCCGACTTTGTGAATAAAGCCGCCGCCGACTCGAAATAATTGGGAATATTTAGATGTCGATTGGAAATAAAACAGCGTAACAAAGCATAGTCTAGTAATATCGTAAAGCCGAAAAAAATTTTTTTAACCGTACTCGGCTCTTCTGATCGTCGTCATAACATAATCATGACGACGGCCAAGAGAGGCATCACTATCAGAATTATTAAAAGAGCCGAGTACAGTTAAAAAATTTTTGTCGGCTTTTCTGACAAAAATCTAACCGACTTTTGTGCCCACACTTGAATTTTCTAATCATAATGTACACGATTTCGTATTTACTAAATTCAATTGCTAGTTACTACTGGCTGTATCGAACATGCCATTAATAGAGAAAAAGAAGAAAAAAAGAAGACGATGAGACAACGCACGCTGATCGTAAAGTAAAAAAAAAAAAAAAATGTCAAGATTTGTGAAGAAAAGGAAAACGGGATAGAGATGGGATCACGAGAAATAGAAATCAAGAGGACTCGATCCATTGGCTTCGACGTCTTTCCTGGCGCCGCGCCACCGCGCCGCCGCCGCACCGGTAGACGTTGATAAGTCTACGTATAAACGATGTAAGCGGGAGATGAGCGGGAGGTGAGCGTTGCGAAGGTGAGTGAAAGGCGACGATTACCAGCAGCAACGTCACGTTTACGCTCGACGATTCACGTTGGACGTCTACGTCGAACGACCGGCATCCAACCAACGTCCGACCGGCATCGCTCACGATGAAACGTACACCCGTACATAAGTATGTCGGGTGACTGTCTAGGTGACAGACCTGGATATCCTAGTTTGGAAATCTCGCACCAAACGCTTTATCGATGATGCGTTCCAAAGCGGAACGGTCTGACAATCTAACAATCTAATGGTCAAATGGCGTTTGAAAAATGACAAAGTTAAATTTTGCCGATTTGTCTCCAATGATGAAACGGAAGTCGACCTCTTCATCTCGTTTCACTTCATCTCAATCACGAAAGGACAAGCGACCCGTTCATGATCGAGTTAAGCAAGACGGTATATAAGCAGGGTAAAAGCTCCGACTTCGTGAAGACTCCCACGAGATACTCCACGCAGTTCCGCGTGCTGCAACCGTTTGCATCGCGTGCGCGCGCGTACAATGTGCCGCACACACCAACACGGGGGATCGCACCTGATACACGTTTACGTCCCGATTGTTCACTTCACCGGAACATCGGAAGAGCTCCATCCGTTTCTCGCTTCGCCTCGCCTCGTCTCGTCTCGCCTCGCCTCACCTCACCTCGCCTCACCTCACCTCACCTCACCTCACCTCACCTCACCTCAAAATGAGGGCCGCTTCGATCCATTCTTTTGCTTCGACCAGCAATTTTACTTTCGCATCGTTCGTTTGTCGAGTCTTTGATTGCATCTGATTGATGCATGTGAATCTTTAATTTTTTTCAATACAACTTTTAAGATTTCGAAACATTTCATTTCTAGAGAGAACAAATCTCTATAGTAGGTAAACGTTATACGAAATTGAAATATGAATCCTGTAAACGAGAAAGAGTCATGTGCTTCCCTTAATTTAATTAGAAATAGCGTAGAAAGAGAGAAAGAAAGAGAGAGAGAGGGGGGGGGGGGGAGAAGAGTAATCGATTTAACAATAATAAAGAAAAAAATGACCGAGGAAATGAGGAAACACGTGTCGCGTGAAAGAATGTACATCTGTACATAAGTCTGTCGGGCAACAATTGGGAAATAGTTACGATGAGGTGGAGGCACCTCCTCGCATCGAGCCGCGTGCTGCGCGCCACGCCGAATGGCAAAGCGTACAGTTATTATACAACGGTACACCATATAACTCAATTTAGATCTGATGCTTGCGTTAACATCAATTCCACATCCAACTCGTGTCACATTGATTCTCGCGCTTCTTGTTTTTACATACGTTTTCGTCGACGCGTGAAATTCACCGATAAAATCTATTCTGGCGGAAATAAACAGATCTCAAGATATCGTTACTCAATATGAATTACTGATATTTATATTCATTAATGTCGTTGAATACTCGAGTATAACGATACATTCGCTTCTACCTTCGACAATTATTTAGGTCGTCCTCGTGTGCTGCAGTTGTGTATGTAACAGGCTATTGTATACGCCGGTAGAAAGAAACTAAAAAAACTAGTCTTGCTTTTCTACTCGCGCGTATTAAGGAAAATAATAAAAACATGCCTCTTTGTCTTGCGCAGGGAGATTACATATGGATCGAACCAATCTCAGGAAGGGAATTTGACGTCGCGATCGGAGCAAGAGTCATCTCGGCGGAAGGCAGACGTATTCAAGTAAAGGACGACGACAACAAGGTAATTACAATTACCGAATACATGTTACAAAACTAAGTCCAAGATTATGAACAATTGACACGGTTTCGGGAGGAATGTTACATCTTACTACCACTCTACTACTTGCATTTTACTTGCATTTTACCGAAAGAGGCAGTCGCGTTTATTTTAATTAACTATTTAACACTCCCATTATTAATTCCATTATTAATCCACGAGCGAATATAATAATTTCGCAGGAACAATGGCTAACGCCGGAGAGACGAATAAAGGCCATGCATGCCACTTCGGTGCAAGGTGTAGAAGATATGATCAGTTTAGGAGACCTCCATGAAGCGGGCATTCTGCGAAATTTATTGATACGCTACAATGAGAATCTCATTTACGTAAGTCCCTCGGCACGACTGCCGATGATGAAATGCGATTGGTTAAAAGTAAAATATAAGTGCATGAAATCGGCGATCCAGCAACGATTCACACGATTCACGATCATAACGATATAATTTTACAGACGTATACGGGCTCCATCCTGGTCGCCGTCAATCCATACCAGATATTGCCCATTTATACCGCGGAGCAAATCAAACTTTACAAGGATCGTAAAATCGGGGAGCTGCCGCCGCACATATTCGCCATCGGCGATAACAGCTACGCGCATATGAACCGATACGGCCAGGATCAGTGCATAGTAATTAGGTACCGGGAGACGTCCACCCGTTATAACATTAAACACACGCTAGAGACGCTTCTAATGAAACTTGACCGAATCATCGACTTTTATCATTCAATTAGTCTTCTTTTACTTGCCCTTTATAAATGAAATCGGTCAAGAGAAAATGACTTTTTTCTCCTACCTGTGCAACATCTTTGCGAATCATGTTTATTAATGAGGAGACAATTATTATTATTATTATTAAAAAGCTACAAGTATATAAAATATTAAGTATAGAGTATATACTGTATATGCTATATACATATAAAGTGTAAAAAAAAAAAACTATAACGCAAACTATATATTTTCTATTCTCGTCCAAATCTCTTCCTTTATAATCATTAGAATCGTTAATAGAAATTCACCTTCATTTTAGCGGCGAGAGTGGAGCGGGAAAGACAGAAAGCACGAAATTAATTCTACAATATCTAGCAGCAATCAGTGGGAAACATTCATGGATCGAACAACAGATCTTAGAAGCGAATCCGATACTCGAAGGTGAATCTCATGATAAGACAAACTTACAAACTACCTAAATTGCCGAAAGCCGAAAGAGTCTCAAATTGATTAAGAGTTGATTGATCGAATGACATCTCTAACGTTCTAGCTTTTGGCAATGCAAAAACCGTGAGAAATGACAATTCGTCCCGTTTCGGCAAGTACATCGATATTCACTTCAATGAACAAGGTGTGATAGAAGGAGCCAAGATAGAGCAATATCTTCTGGAAAAGTCACGGATCGTATCTCAAAGCTTGGACGAAAGGAATTATCATATTTTTTACTGCATGCTAGCTGGCCTTTCCAAGGACGAGAAACAAAAGCTCGAGTTGGAAGATGCATCTACATACAAATATCTCATAGGGGTAAGTGCGTCAAGTGCGTTAGTAATTTGTTTTATCTTGTTTTGGAAATACGCACATGCACGCTCATGCACATGCACGCTCGCACAAACCTCAAAGAGAACAAAGAATATACAGTACAAAAGAAAAAACACAGCAAAAAAATATTATTTATATGTATAATGCGTACGAGCTCTCAATTTACGTACATATATATATATATATATATGTATACACACAATTATCTTTGCCTTCAGGGTGGCGGCATTACTTGCGAAGGGCGCGATGATGCGGCCGAATTCGCCGATATAAGATCAGCTATGAAGGTTTTGCTATTCTCCGACGTGGAAATTTGGGAGGTGCTTAAATTGCTCGCGGCTTTATTACACATGGGCAATATCAAGTATAGAGCCACCGTTGTAGGTACGAAATGCAATAAGAATCCAACACACAAATTTACCGTGTTACTCTCATGGAATTGGAATTGAATGCTTTCAATCTATTTATACGTGACTTCCAGATAATTTAGATGCTACAGAAATTCCAGAGCAAACAAATGTACAAAGAGTGGCGTATTTACTTGGAGTACCGGTACAGTCATTGATAGATGCGCTCACTCGCAGAACTATATTCGCACACGGTGAAACAGTAGTAAGTATTTTTCCATATACAAAGGCCATAGAAAGACTTTTAAAAAATACTATCGTATTGAAAAATGATAATCTTGTATGTTTCGATAGGTTTCCACGTTGTCGAGAGATCAATCAGTCGACATTAGAGACGCGTTTGTAAAGGGTATATACGGTCGATTATTCGTACACATTGTAAAGAAAATTAACGAGGCCATATACCGGCCGAAAAATAATTCCCGTAGTGCTATAGGCGTATTGGATATATTCGGCTTTGAGAACTTCAACCACAACAGCTTCGAGCAGTTTTGCATCAATTATGCCAACGAGAACCTCCAGCAATTTTTCGTTCAGCATATATTCAAGTTAGAGCAAGAGGAATACAATCACGAGGGCATCAATTGGCAGCATATAGAGTTTGTCGATAATCAAGACGCTTTAGATCTGATAGCTATCAAGCAGCTCAACATTATGGCGCTTATTGATGAAGAATCGAAATTTCCAAAAGTAAGAGTGTTTTTAAATTTAGCAGGGATGTCCAAGCGACTTTGACAATAATCTATTTTGAAAATAATTAAAAGCGCGCGCGCGCACATACACCTTACAGGAACACTGAGATTTCTTAATTATTAGAAAAGTAATCACTCTTGACTAATTGGCTCTTTGCTGTACTTTTAATGCGATTTGTCAATTTTCAGGGCACGGATCAAACCATGTTGGCAAAAATCCACAAAACTCATGGCAGTCATAGGAATTATTTGAAACCTAAATCAGATATTAACACGTCCTTTGGCTTGAATCACTTTGCTGGCGTCGTCTTTTACGACACAAGGAGTTTTTTAGAGAAAAACAGAGATACATTCAGCGCGGACTTGCTGCAACTTATTCATATATCATCAAATAAATTTCTCCAAGCTTGCTTTGTCGAAGACATTGGCATGGGATCAGAAACCAGAAAGAGAGCACCCACATTATCGACACAATTCAAGAAATCGTTAGATTCGCTCATGAAAACTCTATGTAGTTGTCAACCCTTCTTCATAAGATGCATTAAACCGAATGAATATAAAAAACCGATGGTAAGCATACGTGGTGCTGTCTCGACGTTTCAACTTGGGACAACATTCTGCCTTAGTATTAGAAGAATCTTGCAAACGCAATATTTGATTTCAGATGTTTGATCGTGGTCTCTGTTGTCGACAATTGAGATATTCCGGTATGATGGAGACTATCAGGATTCGTCGAGCTGGTTATCCTATTCGCCATTCCTTCCACGAATTCGTGGAAAGATATCGATTTCTCATCTCGGGCATTCCACCCGCACACAAGGTGGATAATTCATAATAAATAATTTGAATAAATCAATTTTTATTAATCTGGATGACTGATGGTTACTTCACGGTCACCCAAGGAGGTTTTCCTTGGGTAAAATTCGTATTCGATGAAATATCTGTATGATTAACTTCAGGTGGACTGCCGCGCGGCGACTTCGAAAATCTGCCACGCGGTGTTAGGTCGATCGGATTATCAGCTCGGGCATACCAAGGTCTTTCTCAAGGACGCTCACGACTTGTTCCTCGAGCAAGAACGCGACCGCGTGTTGACGCGCAAGATTCTAATATTGCAGCGGAACATCCGCGGCTGGGTTTACAGAAGAAGATTCCTCAGGATGAGAGCGGCAGCGATGATCGTGCAAAAATATTGGCGGGGCTATGCGCAACGTCAACGATACAAACGCATGCGAATCGGTTACATGCGATTACAGGCACTCATCCGATCGCGCGTGTTGTCGCACAGATTTAGGCACCTGCGTGGCCATATCGTTGCGCTTCAAGCGCGTGCCCGAGGCCACTTGGTGCGTAAAATGTACCGGAAAAAGCTGTGGGCCATAGTGAAGATACAGGCGCACGTGAGAAGGCTGATCGCGCAAAGACGATATAAGAAGATCAAATACGAGTATCGTTTGCATGTAGAGGCGCTACGATTGCGGAAGAAGGAAGAGCGCGAACTAAAGGACCAAGGTAACAAGCGAGCCAAGGAGATCGCGGAACAAAATTACAGGGTAAATATCAATAAATATCAATACCTGCAATGAATTCTACTTTAATTCGTTACTTTAAAAAGAAACGAAAGTGATTCGCGATTAGTCTGCAGTGCAGCAGATGTAAAGATAAAGCTCTCTGATATCTGAAGTTCACAACTAGAGGAGAAGAGTCAGTCTTCTTGGTGATGGACTGTACGACCATCACCAAATTGACTGCTCGCTATATGCAATACAAAAAATAACACACAACAAGTATGTATTAGCGAAATCGTATATTTATGCGAAAAAACGCTGATTGTCCGAATAGAGAGAACTATCGAATTACGATCGTTCCTTTTAGTAAGTCACGATCGCAATTCCTGATCCTAATAAATTTTAAATTCTACGATATGTAACATCGCAAATAAAATTTCAGGAGCGCATGCAAGAGTTGGAAAGGAAAGAAATCGAGATGGAGCTGGAAGACAGGCGACGAATGGAAATCAAGAAAAATTTGATTAATGACGCGGCCAAGAAACAAGACGAGCCAGTCGACGATAGCAAGCTGGTCGAAGCAATGTTCGATTTCTTGCCAGACTCTAGCAGCGAAGCACCGACACCGGCGAGAGAAACGTCTGTGTTTAACGTAAGTTGTAATAACTCTCGAAACTCTTCGTTGAATTAAGCTTTGTTGTGATTACGGGCAAAGAAAAAAAAAACGCTCGTGAAGAGGAAGGAGCAGACTATAGAACTAGAATTTAAAACAATGTTATTAATTAAATAAAAAAATTTAATATCTAATAAATTGTAAAAATCTATCAGAATTTGTGAAAGTCTTGCTCTTTTCTTTTTTGTCGCATAAAGAAAAGAAATATTTTAATCTTTCTTTCTTCGATGCAGGATCTTCCCGCACCGAAAGCCGATCAACATCAAGAGATAATTAGCCCGATTCAGATGACCTCGGAGGACGAGGAGGATCTGTCTGAATTTAAATTTCAGAAATTCGCGGCCACGTATTTTCAGGGCAACATCACGCACCAATACTCTAGAAAGCCGCTCAAACATCCACTATTGCCGTTGCACACGCAAGGCGATCAATTGGCCGCACAGGCTCTGTGGATAACTATACTTCGATTTACGGGCGATTTACCCGAGCCGCGATTCCATACGATGGACAGGGACACAACTTCGGTAATGTCAAAAGTGACGGCGACACTCGGACGGAATTTCATAAGGAGCAAAGAATTTCAGGAGGCTCAGATGATGGGCATGGATCCTGTACGTTCTAGAAATCATCACTTCTCGTAATTAATGTTAAATATTGTTCACAAATATTAAATTTTAACTGTATTGGTGCACGCGAGAAGACGACGATCGCGCGCGCGCGCTTTATTTATAGCAAGATTTATATTATATCCTTCCAGGAAACGTTTCTCAAGCAGAAGCCACGCTCAATCAGGCACAAGTTGGTATCGCTAACCTTGAAGCGAAAGAACAAGTTAGGCGAGGACGTACGCAGGAGGCTGCAAGAGGACGAATACACTGCCGACAGCTATCAATCCTGGTTGGAGGCCAGACCTACGTCAAACCTGGAGAAGCTGCACTTCATCATCGGCCACGGTATATTACGCGCCGAATTGAGGGACGAGATCTATTGCCAAATTTGCAAGCAACTCACCAACAATCCATCGAAATCGTCGCACGCCCGTGGCTGGATCCTACTATCCCTCTGCGTCGGCTGTTTCGCACCCTCGGAGAAGTTCGTCAACTACTTGCGAGCATTTATTAGAGAGGGACCGCCTGGTTACGCGCCCTACTGCGAGGACAGGCTGAAGAGAACCTTCAATAACGGCACTCGCAATCAACCTCCGAGTTGGCTTGAACTTCAAGCCACCAAGTCGAAGAAGCCGATTATGCTACCAATTACTTTTATGGACGGCAACACCAAGACCTTGCTGGCCGACTCGGCCACTACCGCTAGAGAACTGTGTAATCAATTGTCGGATAAGATTTCGCTAAGGGACCAATTCGGCTTCTCTCTGTATATCGCCCTATTCGACAAGGTGTCGTCCCTGGGTAGCGGTGGTGATCACGTGATGGACGCAATCTCGCAATGCGAGCAATACGCCAAGGAACAAGGCGCACAGGAACGGAACGCGCCGTGGAGATTGTTCTTCAGAAAAGAGATTTTCGCGCCCTGGCACGAGCCGACCGAAGATCAGGTCGCAACGAATTTAATCTATCAGCAAGTGGTGCGCGGTGTCAAATTCGGTGAATATCGCTGCGATAAGGAGGAAGACCTGGCGATGATCGCGGCGCAGCAATATTACATAGAGTATCATACTGACATGAACGTCGACAGACTGTATACCCTTCTGCCGAATTACATACCGGATTATTGTCTGACGGGGATCGACAAAGCGATCGATCGATGGGGTCATCTCGTCTTGCAGGCATATAAAAAAGTGAGTCTTTATAAGACAATAATTATTTCCAAAGTAAGCTATAACTTGCGCAAAGAAATTACAAAGCAAATTCGACAAAACATGCAAAACACGCCGGGGATGCGAATAAAGCAATGATAAAAATACTCCAGCTCAAAGACATGCGAGCGAGCTAAAAAGTAGTTACGAAACAAATGTTTACTTTTATCTTAAGAAACGAATTTTAAACGATTCCAAGTTATTTAATTAAAATAACGCGCGCGGGCACACTTTTAATTAAATACCTCAATTCCTGAATTCTCGCCTTTTATTCTCGCTCTCCTTTACTCTTTGCATTTAATTTTTTCATTCCAGAGTTACTACTTGAAAGAAAAAGTACCAGCGTTACGTGTTAAGGAGGATATAGTCGGCTATGCAAAGTTCAAATGGCCTCTGTTGTTCTCTCGTTTTTACGAAGCTTATAGAAATTCCGGTCCGAACCTACCGAAGAATGACGTTATCATAGCTGTTAATTGGACTGGGGTATACGTAGTCGATGATCAGGAGCAAGTGCTTCTGGAGTTATCTTTCCCCGAGATTACCACCGTATCTAGTCAAAAGTACGTATAATAGTGCGATTAAAATTAATTCGCTTTTATACGTAAGGAAAATGTTTAAAAGAAAAAGTTATACGTACATAATTCGTATAGCACATTGTGTGTGTGTGTGCGCGCGCTCACACACACAATATGCTACACAAATTATATAAATTTATATATGTATATAATAAAGTGGGAAGCAAATTCCCTGATATAGCATATTGATGTGGCTTTGTTTTGTAAATCATTACATCATTATAATGTCATACTTTATTCTTATTACTTTTTTAAAATAATTAATGATATAATGGAAGAGAAACTTTTCTCTTTTTCTGAGTATGTATGACATTACGCTTATTGTTAGATGTTTTGACGCGAGAGAAGCAAACATAGTAACTTTATATCGATAGATTTATAATAAATTAATTGTTTAATATATGTCATTAATATACAACTCGAATTTGAAAATGTTAAATTGTGAAAATTATCCGACTGCTTATATTACACATTTTCTAAATTTAAGGCATTCTTATCTTCACAGAACAAACAAGATGTTTACACAAACATTCAGTTTATCGACGGTACGAGGAGAAGAATTTACATTCCAAAGCCCGAACGCGGAGGACATCCGTGATCTGGTGGTATACTTTTTGGAAGGACTCAAGAAGCGCAGCAAGTTTGTTATAGCCTTGCAAGATTACAAGGCACCGGGCGAGAGCTCGTCATTCTTGAATTTTCAAAAGAGTGATCTCATCGTCCTCGAGGACGAGAGTACCGGCGAGACTGTGCTCAACTCGGGATGGTATGTCGGAACCTGTGAAAGGACTGGCGAGAAGGGCGATTTCCCGGCTGAGACGGTTTACGTTTTACCTTCCCTAACGAAACCACCGAATGATATATTGGTACGTACTGATCGTCAACGTACGGATTACTTTCATTGCCGAGATCTTTCATTGTTGATTGTTTTTCCCTTGCTCATCGATTTGATGTAATTTTCAGGCCTTATTTAGTATGGAAGGTACAGAGAATAGTCGCAGACTCTATCCCCAGCAAATAAACGGTGTGGATTCTCGCGACAAACCCCATACTCTTCTAGAATACGCAATCGATCATTTCCGGTAAGTCCAGAGAGATAACATTATATTTGATATTCTAAAGTAAAAAAAGTGTGCGATAACAGGTTCTGACTGAACCTGTTTCAGAACACCGCCAAAGAGAACAATGTCCAAGACATTGACTTTAACATCCGCGCGACGAGGGCACACGGACGAATTGTGGCATCACTCTAGGGAGCCGATAAAGCAACCTCTTTTAAAAAAACTCGTATCTAAGGAGGAGTTGGCCGAAGAAGCGTGTTTTGCCTTCAATGCCATTCTTAAGTATATGGGCGATCTGCCGACGAAACGACCGCGCATTGGCAATGAGTACACCGATCTGATCTTCGATGGACCGTTGAAAAATGAGATTTTACGAGTCGAAATTTATTGTCAAATTATGAAGCAGCTCACTGATAATCGCAACAGATTGAGCGAAGAGCGAGGATGGGAGCTAATGTGGCTCGCTACTGGGCTGTTCACTTGTAGTCAGAGCCTCCTGAAGGTATGATGCGAATAGAATTTCATCCACTCCCTTCCTCTCCGCCGTTACCAATAACATTTTATAATATAAAATTTTGTCAATAACGTGCTAAAAGGAAAATTCGCAAGCACACATGCAACGCCATCTTATATTACAGGAATTAACTTTATTTCTACGTACAAGACGTCATCCTATATCGCAAGATTCTTTACAAAGGTTGCAAAAAACCTTGCGTAATGGTCAACGGAAGTATCCACCGCATCAAGTAGAAGTGGAAGCTATCCAACACAAAACTACGCAAATATTTCACAAGGTCTATTTCCCTGACGATACAGACGAGGTACACATCTTATTGCTTATTTCTTCTAGGCAATCTTAGAGAAAGTAACTTTTTCAAATTTTCAATTGTTAACTATTGTAATTTTAAATTCAATAGGCATTCGAAGTTGACTCGTCTACCAGAGCGAAAGACTTTTGCCAGAATATCGCGCAAAGACTCAATTTGCGATCTGCCGAGGGCTTTAGTCTGTTTGTCAAGATCGCTGACAAAGTTATTTCCGTCCCGGAAGGTGACTTTTTCTTCGATTTCGTACGACATTTGACTGATTGGATCAGGAAGGCTAGACCATCACGAGACGGTACATATTTGCAACTTTTAATTCGTTTTCATTTCCTCGCTGCGACAGTATAGTGAATTATAATATCAGAAACAATAAATTAGATAAATCTTGTTTACTATATACGCGGTATATAATATAAATTACAATATTATATATTTTTTTTCTTTTCCAATTTATACTATGTACTCATAGTTATAAAAAAAAAAAAAGATTTATCTGATATTGTTCTCTCTCTCTCTCTCTCTCTCTCTCCCTCTCTGCGTGCGCGCGTGTGTGTAAAAGTTATATATGTATTCTACTAATATAGAAGAATAAAAACTTTTGACGCGTCACAATTCAAGCATCGTGATATAGCGAAGAAACAAAAGCTTTAATATATGTATATTATACTCCAGGAGTGTCGCCACAGTTTACATATCAAGTCTTCTTCATGAAGAAGCTTTGGACAAATACAGTTCCTGGTAAAGATAGAAATGCCGATTTAATTTTCCATTTCCATCAAGAACTTCCCAAGTTACTGAGAGGTAAATGACGGCACACGACATGGAATTGTTTAATTCTGGCATATATATGCTGCAATGCGCATTCTACATAATAATAATAATAAATTGTGCATCATATTATCATCGCCAAATTTGTATAGGCTACCACAAATGTACAAAAGAAGAAGCATCGAGATTAGCGGCCTTGGTATATAGAGTGCGATTCGGCGAGAGCAAACAAGAATTACAAGCGATTCCGTAAGCATTTTTCGACACGTAATCTTTACAAAGGAGATTAAACGTTACAAACAACAACAACAACAACAACAACAAGGAAATTCTTTCAATTTCAGACAAATGCTAAGAGAACTAATACCGGGCGATTTGATCAAGATACAGAGTGCTAATGATTGGAAAAGATCGATAATTGCGGCCTATAATCAAGATGCTGGTAAGTAAAAGGCACAAATGACTCGCTAGATAAAGTCTTGTATGTGTAAAGAAAAATTGGGGTTTTTATCGAGATACTTAATCTTAGGTATGAGTCCAGAAGATGCGAAAATTACATTTTTAAAAATCGTATATCGATGGCCAACGTTTGGCTCCGCGTTCTTCGAAGTGAAACAGAGCACGGAACCAAATTATCCCGAGTTGTTATTAATTGCCATCAACAAACACGGCGTGAGCCTCATACATCCTCAATCAAAGGTAATCGCACGATAATTCAGTTTCACGTTATTTCAGTTTCAACCAACTATGTTTTCTCAAGAGTTGGACGCTATTAATAAATTTGCATACATACAATTTCTTTACTTACAGGATATACTCATCACTCACCCCTTTACAAGAATCTCCAATTGGTCATCTGGCAATACCTACTTCCACATGACGATAGGAAACCTCGTGCGTGGCTCAAAGCTCTTATGCGAAACTTCATTGGGTTACAAGATGGACGATCTCTTGACCTCCTATATTTCGCTGATGCTCACGAACATGAACAAGCAACGTACGATAAGAATCAAATAGCAACAAAAGTGACGTACAATTAAAATAAACACATTCCATGGCGCGACTGAATACGCAAATAAATCTTGCAAACGCGCCTGACGTTAAAACTGCTCATGAATTTCTCAATATTTTTGTTTCACTTTTTATGAACAACACATGATTTAAAAATATTCGATGTTACGACAAATTTTGTTCGAATATCGTTTCATCATTCGCGCGATGGATTTACTTTCATCTGATTGACGAGAAATAATTTAAATTTACATTTTATATGTACTTGATGTATCTGTTTATCATTGTTCATTTATGTTGTATACGACATAAGAGTGTTGTTGTCCAGATAACTTTGGAATCATTGATGCTGCAATTTATATTATAAAATATATAGATATACTCGATTACTATTTGCATATTTACCTGTTAATTTATAATTCAAAATAATCTATGCAAGAGGAATAACAATTTATATGTACACAAATTGTAGCTGATAGATTTGTACATGATTTACGTACGATTAAGAATTTTTAATCGTTTTGTATAAAATATTATTTCCTGTATTGTACACACATACATATACTAAATATTATTGGTAGATATATAAATATTATTCTGTAAGTGAAATTCATATTGTTATCTCCAAGGAATTATTCACGCACTCTATGTGTGTGCGTGTGTGTGTTAACGTGACATCAGCATAATAACGCCTATGCATAATTCGTATTAATGAGAAGAACGATTGCATTTGCAATAGTTTTGCAAATGCAATCAATATGGCGAGTGATTAGATTGTTATCCGTCCAACAAATCGCTTATTATTACATACATGTGACGTAAGTCAAATTTTGAGAAACCACGAAACCACGGATTCTCGCATAGATATAAATCTCGCAAAACGCGCAATGCATCCGTAGAAGAAAAAAAAATTCTCCAAATTTGCCTTGCTACCTCTACAAAGTATAATTTCGAAATAAACGCTTCGCGCAAGAATGTAATTACTATTAATTCGCTTTTATAATTGTGAATAAAGACAACCATATTTTCCACGCGCAAAGTACAAGCGTTAATCGTGGGTAAATTCCCATGGAATGTATACCGGTGTTCCCCCTTTCCAACACACAGATCTCTTCGGGAAGACATTCCCAAGGCGATGCTATCTCACTTCCTTTCGGAGACGACGGTGTTTCGATTATCTCTCGTAAAAAAGAAGGTAAAAGATCCGAGTAATGATTGAAACTAATGATTGAAAGCGTCACGTCCACTTGGAAGAAATTGTCAATTTTTTTTAACTCGCGCATATCCATTTACTAATGTAAGATTTTTCAATATTTATTAAGTGCAAAATATTAAACATCTCGATTTGATTTTCGATTCTCAAATTTCAGATAAAATTGATGAAATTGATCAATATCGTAAATTTGTTAAATTCGATCTGTGAAAAAGATTCACGATTATTGATGTATATTCATGATGCAAACAATTCCCAACGTTAATTTTGGGATCCGGTATTAAATAAGAACCGATTGACAAAATAAAAATCGTGTAATATAATAAACTTTCTGTTCTATTCTAAATCACGTGTAGGAGGAGCTAAAACTTTATATGCGTCTTTGTTGTATTTATCGATATAACTACAATGAAGCATATAAATGTAATGTTTTTAATATATTTTTCTACGAAAAATCCTAACAATATGCTTCAAATTGTGATAGAGAAGGTGCGATCTACATATCTGAAAAAAAATTTCAAGTATTAAATAATATAGAATATAAATTTTCGTGCACGTGATGTAATTTAATGATACCCGCTCCACTCTTTCGGACATCACAATTTCCAATATTCACAGTTTTGATAAAAAATCAAGAAAAATATACTTATGTGTAATGCCATGTATCTAACGATAGAGAGATTTGTTTTGTACATTTTATTTTATTTATTAAAGTTGGATGACTAACCGAAAATTAGTTTTACGCGAGCATCTCCAGGATATCTAACGCAATTGTTACACCGGGATCCATGTAATTGTAATCACAATAAGTGCTGTACGTACATTGAGATACTATATACATAGAATCACACACATCACTCACACACACACACATACACGTACACGTACATTGTCAGAAGAAAACCATGTGTCTCATTTCTAAAGCGGATTTGACGATCGTCTCTCCGAAATACAGAGAAAAGAAAGAATGCATACGAATATTCTACTGACTTGTCAATCTCTGACCATTTTCACAATCAGCGTCAATTCACGCAACACACATCACACGTTTTCATTCAATAAAATATGCATTTATCATGCATCTCCTAATAAATAATAAAAAAAACTATTGACACCGCGCGCGTTTAAATTTACAAATGTACCAAATGTTGAGGCCATCGTGCGCGGGTTCAAAAATACATCGTGTATGTACTATCTCCCTCTCTCATCTTTGTACAGGATGGACCATTCATACGAAGCAACACTTGGATTTCGGTATGGATTTCTCGATTGCTCTCGCAAATTCGTTTTCTTCTTTTTGCGAAATTATATTTTTTTTATCAGATAAAACGGGGTCGACATAATCTAAAAAATTGAAATTTATTTAGAATCAGCAATAACAACAATGTAGCAAACGCCTGATTATAATTTCGAAATCCACTATACCGAGCTCCAAGCGTGGCAGCAACTTCTTTCATAACAAATACAATGTTGAAAACACAACCATCGTTCGGTGATCGATATGCAAATGTATAGACTGTGTTACTCTTGTTACAAACGTTATTGATTAATAACGTTTGATTATAGTTTTGTATCCTTCTTAAAAATGCTAAATGAGACGAAAATGAAATTATGATATATCTCCAAATCCAATAGAGGTATATCGTAAAAACGATTAAAACTTTTGTCATATAAATCGAATCTTTTAATTTTGTTTGCTTTTCCCGAAAATTCTATCGGCAAATATTCTATACTCGACTCAGTCTATACACACTAGCGCAAGCCGTTAAACCTACAAGATTGCTACGATAAATTATTATCTCTGTAAATCTGTATCTCAACAACTTACGAGTCTAGTGCTACAATCTTTAATGCGCGCGAAATTCAACGCGTCACGTTGTCGCATCACGTAGGATGCACAGAGCGATATGCTACGTTTCCATATTGTTTAAGTTTGCACTGCACCGCGCTGTATCACTGTCGATTTCGAGTAACAAATCTTTCGCCAAATACGAGCAGTCACCATCGCCGCTTTCACTTCCGTCATCATTGTCATTGTCATCGTCGTCGTCGTCGTCGTCGTTGTCGTCGTCGTCATCGTCGTCGTCGTCATTGTCGTCATCGTCGTCGTTGTGAGACACAACGGTTGATGTTGGACCGTTCATATCACTACTACATCGTAAACTTTGGTTCGCGTTATGACGATTATCTAGAAGACATCAGAGACCCGATTGCGGTGGCTGGCCGTGAGTATTCCAGGGCACGTCAGCGGGCATCGCGGCAGGTGGTATACTGGCTTGATTGTGCATGGCACGCGGTGCTCGCATAATCTCGTCGGCGGGCGGACAATGCGGACGCGGTCCGGGCTCGGGTGTATACGTGAAAGTGAGACCGGTCGCGTAAATGATGCCGTCGTTGCGTACAAGAGAGACCGGCACTTGCGTCGGCTGACGTACCCAGAGCCACTCGCCACGGAACAGCGAAATATCCGGCACAACACAGAGCATGCTCTCCTGACATCTGTACATGGTCTCGGCCTCGACGTCGCCGAACCAGACTTGCAGGTTCGGCGTGAAATTATCGCCCGTGAGCTCGAGCATCGCTACGTCGCCGCCACCGTTGAGATGCAGACTGTGAACCAGCGGTACCGGCGTCACCGGTGATCGTACCGGGCCCATGCCCTCGAAAAATTGATACTCGGCCTTGTCAGTGCTGATGATGGTCCAGCAGGCGCCGTCGTTGATCATCTCCTTGTTGGCTTCCTTCGGGCAAGGCGTAGCCTGAAATTGTATTATACGCTCCTGCGACAGGCACAGGTACATATGATCCGTGTCCTTCATGTAAAAGGCGCACTTGTGCAATTGCGATACAGGATCGTCGGCCTCGAGGCTGGCCATTTGTTTGTCCACCTTGCGAATCACCAGCCGTGGCAGAGCCATTCCCGTGACAGAGCATACCAGTTTCACGGTGCTGCCATAGTGCACGTAACCGTCGCGCACTTGAAACTCCTCCGACTCGCTCTCGTTATCGTCCAGGAGATGGATGGTAAACGCGCCCCACTGCGTCGAGCTCGCGTGGAAATTGCCGTTCTCCACGTGGAGGTAGCGCGTACTGACTGTCTGCGATCGCAGTCGATTGAAGAGCGCTACCTTGGTACCGCTGGCGATGCACAGGTCCGCATTCTTCAGGGACTGTTTCTTCTTGGACGGCTTCGAGATCACCTTGATACGCTTACTGTGAAACACGCCGATGTCATGGCCGCTGCCGTAAAACATTTTAACAGAGAGCATAAAGTGCTTGCGCTTGTCCGAATCGGAGATGTAAAGGGTCTTTGCCGCGCAGTACTGTTTGCCGTTGTTCAGATCCAATTGTTGCATGTCTTGATCCGAATTACCAATGCCGATAAAAGCGCACAGCTGAGCGCTCTGTTCGCTCTCGCCTTCGCGCAACATTTGCTCCTGACGCATCCTCCAGCCATCGCCGAAGAGGTAGATACAGGGTGGTGGGCAGAAGAATCGTTTCTCATTGCCGTACGACTTTTGCGCAACCTTGGCATGTAAGATCACGATCACCATGTCGCTACGATCGCGCAGATAACGTTCCATCGCCTCGCGGGTCAGCCGCTGGTCTTGGTGATCGGGCCTATAGATGCCGGAGCCGAATCGAGGATAAACGGACATGACCGAGGTCGGCGAGGGTGGAGATTGCATACCATGTGCCATCGTTGGCAGTCCGAATTGGTGTGGCATATTTAAAAGTCCGGATTCGACTCTCGTGAGCGAAACGGAATATTGCAAAATTGCCGCCGTTGACGCTCACTTATATCTTCATCTTTCAAGCAGCATCTCGAATGCCTTCTCGATCTCTTACCTACGGCGAGAGAGAGAATTAGATTATCTGAGTGATAAACTTAGATATATATATATATATATATATATATATATATATATATATGTATATAAATACCTACAAAACTATAAGATATTGAATAACATACATATACCATACAAGCAAGTATAGTTGTCAGTGCAGTTTGTCGTGCGTTTACCATTACCTCAATGGGAAAAGTGTAATAATAACGTGTAGCGTGCTAGATGAAAAATCGGAAAGAGAATTAAAATTAGTACGAGAAAATAAGATGGAATTAGTCGAAATCGTGTATAAGAAATATAACTCGGTTAAAATAGCACAGTTGCACTGTTACAATGTGAACACGACGAACGGTAGCAGGTATTTTTAAATTAAAAATAGTGCGAACAAAATAGATGATGTCTTTTTTAAACCAATGTCTTATACCTATGTACCAATTTACATATGTGTAAGTATTGGATATAGATGAATATATATACCTAATCCTGCATATGCGTGTATGTATAGGTATATAAGAGCGTATTACAAAGGTATAAAAGTATAAGTAGAAGTAGACGATATCGTGACTTTAAATGCGTGATAATGTATTCGCATAATATACAGTAGCGTCACCGTTAGTCATTCGCGCGATTAAGCGTACCAAACTGCATACAAATGTCTGCTCGTTTGAAGCTTTAGCGTGAGAAAGATTTTTGCTTTTTACAGGGGACAAGACGTAATTAACTTGAGATATCTTTCTCTCTTCAAACGAGCTATCAAGAATTGCTAGTCTTGGCACAGGAAAGAGGAAGCAACATACACACATACGCACACGCACACGTACACACACGCATGCCGTGAGAACCAAGCCGGGCTCATTTTTCCTGCATGAATTAAAAGCACTTCTATCCATTGTAGCCAGGTAGGTAGAGTTTATGTTTATACACTGGGAAAGAACATACAGATTACAATTAATAGCATAATTTTTTAGCTCGTTAAACGAACGTTATATTAATTACACGAAATCGATGTTACATTAATCAACACTATACAAATGTATATACAAATTTTACAACTTTATTAATCACCACCTACCTTATGTGGATTATACTACTTCTTTTTTTATATACACAGCCCTTTCCTTTAGTTATATTTAGTTCTTGAAAATAAATTTTCGATAAAAATGCTCCCTCTCTGCAGCACTTGTGTCGTTTCAATAAAAACCATCATATATATATATATATATATATATATTGTCCTCTTCAAGGCAGCCTTTAACTATCAATGATATTTATGCCATCTTCTACATAAATTCAGTCACATATGGACCTGATGCAACAGATTATGCTCCATATAGTAATGCAATTCTTAGTAACTAATAATCATTTCGCTTTAATCAGCAAATATTTCTCGCTGATAACATAAAGCAAAATTTAATTGTAATATCATTTAATTTAACGCCAGTGATTAATATAATTAATACTATTTAATTTAATGTCAGTGATTAATACAATATCGTGTACGTATATACGTATATCTCGAGTTTTTACCAAATTAATGATTTCATGTAATTTGTTCTTGTGCTGCTTATCAATCAATAATAGGTATCCCACAATCTGTAGCATGATGTACAATGTTGATGAACAACAACAGAGTAATATAGTAGCAAAAGTTGAGAAATTAGTATTGCAAATCAAATGATAGCTACAATACCAAGATGCAACTGTGAGAAAGTATCTGTCATCACGTGTCATCTGTCGCATATGTCAAGGCATTTCGCTTAATTTATGTAATCGTAGTCAAAATCATGGAATTTGCCTAATAACATAATTCAAGTCTATGATCGCGAATGCTTGATTAAATACTCCAAGAATAGAAATGCAAATGTATTATTCAGCAAGAAAAATACCCGGCGAATTGAATCCGATGTTACGCGATGAATAGTAGAATACAAAACGTGTACCTTGACTCACCGTTTGGCCTTATGAATTGTATCTCATGTATCGGATTAGTTATAACTGCATTGCAAAAAAATGCACACACAACGAAAAATACTGCCAAATTAATACGATACTGTGTTCTAGCCATGCAGGCTGCATGTAGGCGGCTTTCGCGTGCAACATAGCAGAAAGTCAAGATTACGAAAATAGAACAAAAATAAGAAGTGAAACGATAAGCACTTTTTAGTCATTGCCACAGGTTAACTCGTTGCCGCAGGAAAGGGAAAAGACTTGGACGCGGAAAGCTGGACATTTTGATCGCAAAAAAGACACAAGAAGGTGTCAGTTTCCTAGGCGTTGAGGCTTGCTGTGATCCGTGGTTGTCGTGGTTGAAGGGTTATGAAAGGATCGATTGGTCCCCGTGAGGGAACGCGATCGAAACGGCATGTGCAAGGAAGCCAGGCGTTTGTTTATTTATCTTTCGACGCGAGCGAGGTTACGATCTAACAAACAGGTTAAATTCTATGTCAACTTACCCCTTCATTCTTGGCCGGACTTTGAGAGTAACCGCGTACTCGCGTACCCGCGTGCATCCTCCGGGCTATCGATCATCCGGAGCGGCTGCCAAGTTCCGACGATCGTTCACCACTGTTCGCTCCGCTCCGCGACGAATCCTTCCGCGTCCTCTCGTCGGCAGTCGCCTACTCGCCTTCGCCTTCGATGTGTCTTTCTCTCTCTCTCTCTCTCTCTCTCCCCCTAATCCATTCAAAAAACACCTGTTCACTTTCCGAATTTTCCGAACAGTTCTGCCAACTTAATCGCGGCCAACGAACGAACGCGGCAGCGCCGGCAGCGCAGCGCGATGCGCGTACGCGCGCAACTTGAAATTATCGAATCGAACAATTCACACGATACGAAACTATGACGAAACAATTTGTCAATATATTATATTCGCTTTATACAAGTCACGCGTCTTCTTTTTACAATTCTGTAGAGTAATGTATGTATGTACATACAAATGACATAAATGAAATGAAATCGAACCGGATCAGCGACTGCACCGCGGTAACGATCGTCCTTAATATGCAACTGACGGATAACTAACTTCCAAGTGTTCAGAGCAGAGTGTACAGCAACGACGTAATGTTATAGAGTTATTGCGGCGCTTGCCGCCGCGCCGCGCGTAAGTGGCTGTACCGCATAAACGTGCAAGCAATGAAGAGGGAGGGGGGAAGGGCTCCGCGCGAGAACTCTCTCCCCGATTCTCGAAAGTGGAAAACGATAATATCGCGGCGATGATAATTAAATATATATTTGAGTGCGCGTTCTCGGACGATATGCGCTGACGTGTGTTTACCTCGATGTATGAGAATCGCGCGCAAACTTTCCCCTGGCGTTTGAAATTTCATCCGCGACTGAAATGTTTCAGCTACATTCAATTTACTTGTAACAGTCTTCTATGTCGATTAACAGAGTTTATGCGTCTTGAGCGGCAGACGACAAATTATATATTCGTCATGCAACATATAATTATATTATTCGAGTTAATATTGAGTCGACGCGGCGGGTCTCTCTTATAATTTGACTCACGTTAGATGTACATATGCGTGAAAATTAGTAAGATTCTAATTAATTTGTAGCGAGCCCTACCTGTCTAAGGATTGATTGCTTGATATATAATATCACTTTCTAGATCATAGCCCCGTTCTGCGAATATAGATACAGAAATAGTTCAATTAATCGCCATCAAGCGCGCTAACCGGTGGTGAGCGAGCTGTTTCAATTCAATGATACACTTTCGCAACTATATTATGTATCCGAAAAGTGGAGCACTTTGTTGCTCTCTCTCTCTCTCTCTCTCTCTCTTCTCTCTTCTCTCTCTAGTCGCGATGACAGTCTTTTTTTTAAATCGCCCACAATACTTTCGCGATAACACGGCGCTCGCGCGCACGCGGATACGTCACTGATGCTGCAGCTTCTATTGTTTTACTGTTGTACAATGGCCCGGTCGACCCAAGCGCCTCCAGCTCCCTACCTCCCTCCATTTGACGCGCGCTGCTCGCTCCCGTCGCTTCCCTCCCCTTCTGTCGTTTCCACTCATTCCCTTCTCTCCCCACGTAGCGGCGCCCCTACGGACCGTGGAATTGCTGCCGCAAAAGGATGTTGGGGTTATCCTGGGGGGCGTGGGAAAAACCTGCTGTGGGAAAGAGTGGGTGGCCTCTACCTCACTCCACTTCTGCGATGATGACGATACGATATATATATCGCGTCTATGAATGTGCACGCGCGTATGCCTACATGTGTGTGTGTGTGTGTGTGTGTGTGTGTGTGTGTATGTGTGTTGTACAAAAACCACACATACGCATGTACATACATCGCATTCGTACGTCGCGGTTTTGTCGCGTGATTCGCGTGTGCGAGAGATGCCAGCCAGCCAATGCTGCGTAATAATAGGAGACATGCATGTGTGTACGAGGACAAGTGGAAATAGAGAGAGAGAGAGAAATATTTTAATAATTTTTATCTTTCCTTTGAAATTTTGACTGATTTTTTTTTTGTGACTCGTGAATTAAACGCCAACGAGATAAAGAACTTATTTCTTTTTAATTGTAATTTTAAGCCCTTATACTTTATCAAACTCTTATACTTATCGAACGTCTTATAATAGCACTTTGTGAATCTTTATTGTTGAAAAGAAAGACATTTTCGACTATGTAATTTTAACAAATTTACTGATTTCAATTTCTTTTTAAAACGTTAAGTACTAACTGAAATTAACATTTCTGCAGAAATTGGCACAATTACTTTAAACAGTTTAAACAGTATACGCTACATTTTTGCATAAAAATAATTATCCGAAAAATTGTCGATTCACGAAAAATATTATGTAAATAAACGCTTTCAAGATAATTTTGGCATAGCTCCTTTTATTTTTGATAACACGATCTTTCGCTTTTATATAATTAACGTGCGACTTATTTTATTTATTTTGAACGCTCTTTTTTACCGTATATACATATATCTTTTCACGACTTTTTGTTCACACTTCATATGATTAACTTGAGCTGATATTTATAAATTTTTTAACATTTTTCCAGTCCGCGACAAGTAGATTTTTATTTGAGTGTCACAGTCTGTCTATAAATAATGATAATATTTTAATTTTGCTTTCCATTTAATTTGTATCGTTGCGTGTCACCGATTTATGTCGACTCTGCCTCTCTGCCTCGGCTGAGATTGTGAATTAATTAGTAAAATGAAGGAGAAAAAAAGGATAGACGAATCATCGAGAAACGAAAAATCTCTATTTTTCTATTTTAGTTTTTTGACGATTGATCGTCTATTTTTTCCTTTTTCCTGATCATTTTGCCAAACGAGTACGTACGTATAATGACGTTTATTTGACGTTTGATCACGTTTTATTACAAAACAACAAAAATATATAAGCGAATAATAAACAAATAATCTTTAATTTTTTCATGCGTTAGAAAATCGATGGCATAAGGTATAATTTAATATAAAATAATGAAAGAATAAAATTGAATCGCTAAATAGCGCTCCCTTGACGCGTACGGCTTGTGTATATATATTATTAGTCTTTTTTAACTGTAGGCGAACGTAATTCTCGTAATAAACGAGCGCAAGTCGGCCGCAAAGTTCGGCCCAAGTTTTTACAAAGCCCGAATCCCGATTCCCACGCTCGTTCTTTTTATTTTACGAAGGTGCGAAGATACCGCGGCGCAAAATTATACCGCGCGCGCGAGCGTGATTCTGATACGATCTACTATTGTAATTATTGCGCGATTCTAATTATTATCGTTGCCCTCAAGGAATAAATAAGAATGCGGAACAACGATGCATATAATTGACTGTCGCAGTTTAAAATCGCTGCCGAGCTCGAATGCGCAACATCTACAACGCATAAACTGCTGATTACGTACGCGTTTCTCGCCATTGATCATCGTCTGCTGGTTAACCGGATTTTATGCCAGATTAATCGCACGTTCGGCACGTGCAATTGGCGTAATCATTGCATGCAGTGTGCCTGGAATTTGCTCTATAAAATTCCATTCAAAATTATCCACATGGAATACATTTTTCAGGCATATATTAAACAAAATAATTGATATCGCATTGAGTTTGCATAAACCTGGCATTTTGGAAATGCAATACGTTAAATTAAACTAAGCGACACAAGCGAGAGTATGATTTGATTCGAGTTGACTCTCAATCAGTTGAATCACACTCATGTCAAAACAGGCATACTTATAGGTTAACGCAGGCACTGCAGGCCGCGGTCCCGCGCGGATACGAACGATCGAGCTCGGCCAGCGGCGTGGCTAGAGTGAAGTGCAGCTGACCGCGTAACGCGTTCGTGGTTCGCGCCACGGCGCGCGATCGCGATACATCGTGAGCTGTGTCGCGACTGCGTGAGTATATGTGACGTTTGGTGTTTGCCTCCTTTCATCAGCTGACCGCACACAACACACACACACACACACACACACACACACACCCACGCGCGCGCCATATGCATACATATATACATTACGGTACGCTAATGTGCGCGCGAGTTGATCGCGTACTACGCTACTACGCATACTTTTAGGTTAATAACAGGTTATGTCATATAATAAATTGAATTTTTAAAAATAATGGATCAACACGCTTATCTCTGAAATAATGGGAGTATATGGCTTGTGGAAATTGCTCGAGCCATCCGGAAAGCCAGTATCCTTGGAGAGTCTCGAGGGTAAAGTCTTGGCGATCGGCGAGTATTAATATTTATAATCTGTATTTGTTTCGATATCAGAAAAGCTTACAAATATAATTTTAAACTTTATTTAATTCTTAAGTTCAGTTAAACATTTCGCCAAATTTTAAAATGATGAGTACACAACCAAAGTCGCGCTCCTACTGTGGCTCAACTTTAATATCATTAAAATACAATTGTTTATAAAATGACAAACTTTTGTAATGTCTAATATCTTACAGATATATCAATATGGATGTATCAAATGTTGCAAGGATATCAGGATAGTCATGGTGCTCCTAGACCCAACGCACATTTGCTTGGATTATTCACTAGGATATGTAAACTTTTATATTATAAGATCAAGCCCATTTTTGTCTTTGATGGAGGTGTACCCATGCTCAAGAAAAATACAATTGTAAATATGCTAGGCTTATATTTTTTTTCTATTGAGAAATAATGATCTTCAACTGAAACATTTAACGGAAAGAATATTGTCGGAAGAACGATATATTGTATAAAACTTTAAACTTTGCATTTGCACTTTGCATTTAATACGCACAAGCTAAACTGTTCTTCTATCTTGATTATAATATTGTTCGTACTCTTAATTAGCTCACCGTGGGAACCAGGTAGTGAGAAAAGAGCCTCCTCATTCTTTTGTGTTCACAGGCCTTGCGCAGGAAGCAGAAATCTATTGCCACGAGTAAGGCGCAGAAAATAAAGGTGGATTTGATAAACAACTTGATAAAGCACAGAGTTGTAAAAACCGTTCTTAACAAAGATTCCAAGAATCAAAATAGTGAGACGATACAAACAGGGATAAATATGCACACCAAACATTCTAATGAAGATATGTTTGTTCTGTCTGATATTCCTAGCGTCAGCAGCTCGCAGCAGAGTTATGTCGATGACGATTCATATCAACACGATTCTGACACTCTTGTCGAATTAAGTCCACGAAAGCAATCTAAATGGACAGGAAATATACACAGTGTCGATGTAACTAGTAGCGAATTTAAAGCATTACCTGCAGATGTTCGTTACGATATACTTACTGATCTTAAAGAAACGAGAAAACAAAATTCCTGGGGTCGTTTGCATGAAATGCCTCAAGTATGTACAAATGTACATTAAAACTACAATATGTAACATCAACGATTAAGTATAGATTATGTTTTATTATAAGTCATGTGTATGTAAAATCTCTCTCTCTCTCCTAAATATTTTGTATCCAATTGTAGGAATCGCAAGACTTCTCAGGCTTTCAGTTGAAACGTTTGCTTAAACGTAGACATGTGCAAGCATCTTTAGAATCCGCTGAAAAGGAAATGGGTGGAAAGACACTAACATTGGAAGAATTGGACAAGCTACTAACTGAACAAGGCGTTGATACAAAGAGCAGAGACACGGCTTTTCGAATAGCCGCGGATAATACAACCAGATTGATTTATATCAATGGTATGTGCGCTAAACGTTGAAATTGTTTCGTACGCACGTTGTGATCTATTTAACAATGAATTTTATATCATTTTACACAGACAAAAACACATTAGCAAAAAAATCCGTTGCGAACGAATCAGAGGCGGATAAAACGTTACAGGATGCAAATGAACAAGTTGAATCTGTGGCTGGCCCAAGTAATCCTGTGTCAATCATGGAAAATATTAACGAACATGAATTAAACTACGATTCTGATAGTGAGACCGATATATCAGTTTATGATGATGATAATGATGATGCTCTACCTATCGCAGAAAACATCAATGAATACACATTTGACAGCGATTGGGAATCTGAAAATGATATAAACGAATCATTGGCATTATTGGGGAAAAGCGTTACGAATCCTGCATTAACATACATGGTAGAACATAGCGGTTTGTCTCAAAATCAGATCATGCATCTTATTAAACGTAATAAGGACGAAAGTCACAAGATTGCAAGTAAACGCATAAAAGAAGATATTTGTGTAGAATCGGCACAAGTCACGACGAAGCCGTGTAGTTCAATGGATGATGAATCAATATTAAAATTTTCTGAAAATTGCCAGCAAGTGTCGAAATTCGTAGAATCGCGGAGTATGAAAGATGCACGCATGTCTAAAGAGAATATGGCCGATGAATTAATTCCGTTTAGTCAAGAATCAGACAATTTCACTCGAGTGAAACAATTAAAGAATAATACTAAGACTTCACTAAATATCACTGATGTTACATCTGATATCTCAAGTTTGGATAAAAAAAGAATATTTGACGAACGTTCTCCTGCTACGAAATCTAATGATATAATACAAATAGATCTAGCGTCTGATTCCGATTCCGACGATTTTATCGAAATCCAAGATGTTCCGACACATGATATGAATATTTCAAGAAATGTTACAAAGAAAAAAGATATCGAGATAACTTTCAAGTCCGATAAAAAACTAGAGGACGATCTATTTGCCGATATATTTTTGGAAGTGAATAAAGAAGAAGTTGTTCCGGAAGAACAAGAACAATCTGTTGATACGATAAACGGTGAATATCAAACACAATTAATTTCTGAAAACAGTAATAATTTGGAAGATAGTTTCTTAGACACAATATCTGAGGAATCGATCGAAGAAAAAGAAAAAACGGAAATCGAATTGCTAGAATCAGCATTTCAGTTAGGCAAGAATATATCGAATGACAAAGACAAAATATATGACCTCGACAACTCGAATAAATCGATGAAAGGAGATAATACAGACACGTCTACTCAAGATGATTCTCTTCATGAATGTATACAGGAAAAGCCAAAAGTGTTACCTATTGCTAAAGAAGATTTGATAGAATTGAAAGTAAACTTGACATTATTTTATTGTATTTTTAGTTTTTACCTATTATTAGCCTGTGATACAAGTATGTATTTACAGGAACAATTAGAGGATGAACAGCAAGAACTCGCAAGAGATATTGGCAAACTCGAGAGACAAGCTACCAATATTTCTGAGCAAATTAAAACCGACGCACAGGTATATTTGAAAATGAATAGATAAAACGATGTACGTTATATCTTGCTTGCATACGTCATATTATATTTATTTGTAGGAGCTCTTACGTTTGTTCGGCATACCATATATAATAGCTCCCATGGAAGCGGAAGCACAGTGTGCGTATTTGGAACAAATTAAACTAACTGATGGTACAATTACAGACGATTCCGATGTCTGGCTTTTTGGAGGCCGATGCGTATACAAGAATTTTTTCAACCACAACAAGAGAGTGTTACAATTTCGTGCCTGCGATATTCAACATCATTTTAGTAAGCATAGATTCATTACTATCTTAAGATAGAACGGCAATAATATAATACCAATTTGTGTGTGTGTGTGTGTGTGTAATTTTTATTTAAAAAATTACGAAAATCAAATATATATAGATATATCAAGTATTATAGATTTAATAATAAAATAATTGCATATCTCAATTACAGAACTCAGTCGCAATCAATTGATACAATTAGCCCTTTTGGTTGGCAGTGATTATACTGCAGGGGTGGCTGGCGTTGGACCAGTTACCGCACTAGAAATATTAGCCGCGTTTCCTGCCGATGGAGATAACGTATTACATGGATTACATAATTTTTGTTCGTGGATAAAGAAGGGAATGGTTGCCGCTCCTGGGAAAACAAGCTTACGCAATAAATTACGAAGCATGAAATTGAACAGAGGTAAGTGGCAGTCTCACCTAGACACCTAGATCGATAAGGATGAGTAAAGTAAATGGAATAAGTGATTGCGAGTAGCGTGACTTACTATTTGACAGATTTCCCAAATCAAGCGGTTGTCCAAGCGTATCTCTTTCCCACGGTCGATGAATCGAAAGAAACTTTTACCTGGGGTAAGCCGAACCTTGTGCTTCTTTGCGACTATACCAGACAGAAATTTGGATGGACAAAGGGTAAATTCGACGATACGATGATACCGATATTAAGAAGAATGGAAGAAAATAAGAATCAAAAATTATTGGATGCGTACTTCAAAGCGAAAGAGTCTCCGCGCTCGATCGAACCAAGCTTAAGTAAAAGAGTTCAGAAGGCTTTGCGCAGATTGAATAGTGACGGAGATATGGATACGGATGACAACGTAGATGGCCGTAAAGAACCTCGACTTAAGAAAAGTAAAAAAGGCAATCCAATTGTCCAAAAGTCGAACGAAGAAAAAACAAGTTCAGAACTTGAACTTGCTCAACTTGATGAGCAAGTACCAACTGAGAGTAGACGGCCTATTAAAATAAATACTAACCCCGAGAGACCTATTAAGGCTGTTGTTGAAAAAAAATATACCAAAGAATATATACCGCAACGAGAGAAAGATAAGGCGTGTGCGTTGGAAAGGAAATTGCACGCTATAGAAATATATAGAAAATCAAAACGAGGTTTAGATAAAACGAGAAAAGTAAAATGCAAAGCACGAAAAGTCAAGGAACAGGCAGAACTATCGGAAAGCGATAGCAATTAGATCTAAATTCTAAATAAAAGAAGAAAAAAACTGTATGTTTTTATCACATGTTCTTCAAAATGTATCACTTATTATGTATGATCTGTGTGTGTGTATACACCTTTATCATATTGTTAAGTACTTGTCTACAAGTTCTACAATAGCGATGTAACTAGGCTAAATCTCTTGTACATTTTTTCTCTGTTACAAAAATTTAATGATTACTCGTCATGTTTAATTGATCTTATCGGTAATACATGATTCTTATATATACATATAAGCACTACTTTACTGATAACATACATATATATATAATGTGCAGATCCTAAGATTTTACATTATCGGTAGTGTAATGAAAAATTGAAAAATTCAATCAATATACAGAAATAATACACAGATTAATTATTTTATGCAACACTGCGACAACGTAGCGTTCTGTAATTTTGCTTATCGATTATTGATAGAAATTTATATTATATTTTGATTGTTATATTTGAATAATGCATTATTAACAATTAAGTTGTAAACATATATATTATATGTACATACATACAATACAGTTTAAAAAACGTATAAAATTATAATATTATATTGTTAGTTATAATTGTTTAAATTTTAATAGCCGGCCACGCGAACTCTCAGGGAGAATTTTCCCTGATCTAAGAATGTTGGTTGAATTTTTAATAGTATAATATATATTATTATAAAAAGAGCTGCAGTAGATGGGTTTGATTCTCTACTAATGATAATGGTACCGATCGTAGATCAAAGAGGTATCAAACGATATCTTATATGTTAATTTCGTTGTCAAGTCACTCACGTCGTCACCGACGAGGTTACTCTAAAGTAATGCGCGGGTTATATTATTAAAAACGGCTGGCCAAAGGCAAATTTTCATATAATTTAGATATAATTGTATATAAATTGAATGAAACTTTTCACTGTCGATAATAAAGTATATAAGTGATTTGGCGACGTAAAATTGTAATTATTAATTAACGATGCGATCGTATTTGTTATCCTCGCGGTACCCAGTAGCCGAAATGGTTGGAAATGTCATTGTTCTTCAAATACCCCCCCGCCCCCCACGAGTCTATTTGACATTTCACGAAAATTCGGAAAATTTTCCTTTGGCCGCGACCGTCTTTATTCAATCAATAATACCTCGTCGATGCTACCGTATGTAGAATATAGTGTATAATACACACAATGCAATCGCTCTTGAGACAACTCTACCGCGGTATGTAAGTATAGTGTAGCGTAGACCAGCGTAGACCGCTTTCGGTTTTGCCGCGCCGGGCGGCGGGCCGGAACGGGACAGGAGTGCCGCGCCGCCGGGAGCGGAGTGATGATGATGATCAGTGCCAGCGCCGAGCGGGAGCGTCGACTGTCGATTGCATCGAGGAGTCAGGAGAGCCGATTCGAGATAGAAGTGGATCAAAACAAGCGATGCTCAAGCTGAATGGAGACTCACGTGATCCCTTCATTGGTTGTGGTCGCCGCCGCTTTGTGAGAGACGCGAGAGTAAGTCGTGAGAGAGGAACGTGAGGGAGAGGCGCGTGAGATTGACTCGTCTTCATTCCCATCTCGTCGACTCTTCTTCCAGGAGGTATCCCGTAACTCTCGTAACACCGCAATTCTTCGCGGCGTCTTTTCTTCTTCCTGTCGCTCCGGGATAGTCCAAGCATAGTCCACGCGGTCGAGCCGGGACTCGAGCCGGGACGACAATGTAGGTCCAATCCTCCACGTCGACGCTCCACGTCGAAGCAAGCCCCTGCTTCTCGACCGCCGCGGCCGCGTCGGGGATGTCTGCACGGCTACTCGAGATAGTCGAGACTCTCGAGAGTACCACCATCGTCGACGACACGAACCACCAACACCTGCACCGCAATTACGCAAATCACGTAGCGAATCGCATCCTTGGGAGATGTCTTGCAGCGATGGCGCGCGCCCAACCCGTAAATTCGGCACAAAGTCGCCGAAGAAACTGTGCGTGACAAAGAGCGAAAACGGCGACAAAACCACAACGACGATCAGCTGCTCCAGTCATCGTCACAATCACTATCATCACAGCCATCATCGTTTCCTGGACGGCTCGCAGCCGTCGGTGCACAAGCGCAATCTCTACATCGTCTCCTTCCCGCTGATACTGCTGTTCAACGTTCTGCGCACTCTGCTTTATCAGTTGTTTGTGGTGTTCAAATACCTCTACACCTCTACGTCTCAACTGATTCAGCGCAGACAGGCGTCCAAACAGGCCTGTCAACTAGAGATTGTTGTGGGACAAAAGTCTGATGATCGTTTGATCAACGGTAATCGAATAGAAAGCGAGGTCATGTCGCAAGTGCCTAGACGCCCCATCGGACCAGGTCCTGGGGATCCGTTGCTAGCCAAACAGAAGCATCATCACCGTAGAGCGTTTGAATTTATTAGCAAAGCACTCAAGATTGACGAAGATAACGAAGGTGTGTTGTTTCGCATGATTCAATTAAATATTTAAGTAAGAGTGAAGAGAGGTTTCAATGTACCTATATATAATACTTATATTAGAACAAGTTATTTTATACAAGTATCGTATAATTTCAATATTATACCTATTATTGAATTAAATTGATAGTTCAATTTTTATGTGCTCAATGTGCTGTCTTCTGATTAATCTTGTACTGGTTGGAACAGGCCAAAAAGAAATGGCGATAGAATTGTACAAAAAGGGAATTGGAGAATTGGAGAAGGGCATAGCTGTGGAATGCACCGGTGGACACGGCGAAGTATGGGAGCACGCGCAAAGACTTCACGACAAAATGTGTACGAATTTGGCAATGGCAAAAGACAGGCTCGATTTTCTTGGTTAGTACATCATCGTTGTTACATCTCTTCCACACATTGACGTTTTTTAAGCTATTCCAAGCTTATTTACCTATGGTTTCTTATAGTTTCAAATAGTTTCGTTTCATGCGAATAATACTTAATTGATCGATATCTATGCACCTATTTTTTTCGGCAACAGTATAATCCACAGGTAAATCTTTGGCAATGGCAAGAAAAAGAATGTCGATGTACTTGGCATGTTCGTGTGCAATTTATTTTATTTTTTCGAAATATGCGCGCGTACGTGTGTGTGCGTGCGTGTGTGTGCGTGCGTGTGTGTGTGTGTATATATGTGGTACGCATGCCCGCGTATATAATTATATATAATTTCCTAGATGGTTTACCTTGAGCACAAGTCAATCTTTAGTTTGCATTTCTTTATGGCTATTCAAAGAAAGATAAATAAAATTAAAGTTTGGCATACGTAAATGTATGTTGATAAAATACAGATTGAAAAAGCCCAATCTCACCAAATTTCACGTGGCAGCAGCATTCTAATAGCGATTGAAACGCGCATTTTGCTCCGAGCAAAAATCTAGCTATATTTTGAATATTTTGATACTCACGGTGGCGATACGACCGAAAGATTAGTACAGCCACCTGATCTTCTCTTTAGCTGTCTATAGCCTTACTGCAGCATGGCAGAGAATGTTTTTTTCCTTTTTGTAGCGAGTGTGCGTGAGCTGAGAAAGCTGGGTATCAACAGTAATACCAACAATCGCACATCTGGAAATAAAACGGACGGTGACCATCCGGGAAAGCATCTGAGGGCTCGCCGCAACATGCACACATTTCAAACTGCTCGAACTTCACCTACCATTAGTCATAATAAGAACACAAATAATATACACACGACAGTTAACGCCGGACAGACTATGTGTACCCAGATTCCCAAGTTAAGGCCACGTTCACCAAAAAACTATTTCGCTCATACTATTGAAGGTATTGTTCGCCTGAGATTTTGGGCTTAAGTGCAAAAAAGAGTCGAATGCAAGTAAATAACAGTAATGCTAGCGTCTATTTGGAAAAGATTTGTTTTGTCTTAATCCTATGCATGTCACTTGTTTCATGTACAAGAATGACGTAGAGGAAATGTAGAGATTTGCGCTTTTATCGTAGTTGCCTATGTCTTTTTTTTTTTTTTTTTTAGATTTTATAATTTTTAGAAATTGCCGCATTTTGCTTATTGTAATGCGATACAAATTAAATTAAAGCATCTTGGAAGTAGATTTTAAAGTTATTTACACATCTATGTTTTATATATATATACGTCATAATAATTTTAATAAATACACATCAAGACAGATTAGATGTACGATCTCAAACCAGTACGCGTGTAGATACATTATCACACCACACTATCACATAATTAAAAATGTATAATTTTTTCATAGAGTTTTAATATTTATGCGATTTAAACAGAGATCAGGTAATGTGATGAAACGATGTGTATCTTTTACCTTTTTCTTTAATTCTTGAAAGCAAGAGTTAAAAAAATCGATATATTTTCATAAATAATTTGATCCTTAATACATATACGGAATTTAAATATTCTTGTTTGTTAATTAATTTCTATAAATTAACACCTGTCGCATAAATATCGCAAACGTGACATGTTTTATTGCATTGAATTTTATTAAATTATAATTTTGCTTTTAATCGAAGCAACACAACACAATATGTGTAATGTAATTGCAACTTTATTAGAATACGAGAATATTAGGAAGTATGTATTTTAATATATCGCGCATAAATCCTGATACATAAAATTAATAGGTTTTGTTAATTCTAACGATTTAATTTAATTATGTTATTTATTGCGATAAATTCACATTTTTAATACGCTCCTACTATTTACCATTAAGTTAAACGATACAGATAACAATGTTGAAAATATGATCTTGGCTGTGGAAATATTCTTTTCGTACTTTTACCTTCTTTGCGATATTAGACCCCTTTATCCATTAGACAGAATCTGCATTTAATAATACCGACGATCACACAGTAGCCGATTTTACATCATAAAATTATGTGAAATTGTAAATTGCTATTTTTTAAGCTTTTTTTCTAAGTATAGGCATTGTTTCAGCATCTGGTAGGAAATTATCGGTTCCTGCCAAGCGAATAACAGGAACACCTTTAAGTAAGAGCCAGACATTGCCTCGAAGTATGGGCAGATCGACTCCCATTCAACCTTGCCATAGGACTATGCCTATCAAACCGTCCTCTACCCCACCTTCTGTGAAAAGACAACTGTCTGTACCCGGCAACGGTTCACCTATAAGACGTCCCGGAACACCGACCACTTCGAACAGTAACAGAAGCACGCCAACCAGAAAAGTACCCATTTTAAAGGGCGTGGATCCAAAACTTGCGCAAGTAATTCTCGATGAGATTTTGGAAGGAGGAGCACCAGTGCAATGGGAAGACATCGCTGGTCAAGAAGTACGTCGTTACGTTATTTTGGTCCCTATATTTAATTGTTCCGCTAAATTGATTGTTTTCATCTAATTTTAACTTTCAGACCGCGAAGCAGGCTTTACAAGAAATGGTAATTCTACCGTCGCTACGACCTGAACTATTTACAGGTCTGCGAACACCTGCGAGAGGATTGCTATTGTTTGGACCACCGGGAAACGGAAAGACATTGCTGGCGCGTGCCGTTGCGACTCAATGTAACGCAACATTTTTTTCGATCTCTGCCGCTAGTCTCACATCAAAATACGTTGGAGAGGGTGAGAAGTTAGTGAGGGCTTTGTTCGCTATCGCGCGGGAGTTTCAACCCTCTGTTATTTTCATCGACGAAGTAGATTCATTATTGAGCGAACGTAAGGATAACGAACATGAAGCTTCGAGGTATGCCCATTTGTGTGTGTGTGTGTGTGTGTGTGTGTGTGTGTGTGTGCGTGCGTGCGTGTCGATTCTCTATCTACATTCTAAGAATTATTCTTGCATATTTGAATACATACGTGGATAGTGCATCGGTATGGGAAAGAACGTCATCGATTAACGTGTATTTCAGGAGACTAAAAACAGAATTCTTAGTCGAGTTTGATGGTTTACCATGCAATCCAGAAGAAAGAGTGCTCGTTATGGCTGCTACAAATAGACCGCAAGAATTAGATGAGGCTGCATTAAGGCGATTCACGAAACGTGTGTATGTCACGTTGCCTGACTTGCAAACGAGGAATGCGTTACTCCGAAGGCTCTTGGCCAAACACAATGATCCATTGACGCCCGAAGAGTTGAATGAGATGGCAGTTTTAACGGAAGGATACTCGGGAAGTGATTTAACTGGATTAGCTAAAGACGCAGCACTTGGGCCTATCAGAGGTAACACTGAAAATTTTTTGTATTTGTTCTGTACATTATGAGTGAAGATGAGTGCGTTTGGTCACTCATTTTATAGCCCTTTGTTTTTTGCAAACATGTCGTTATTTTGATGAATATATACACAGACATACATACGATGATCTCCAGTGACGCAAGTTAATTTTTTGTTTATACAACTAGTACATAACAGGCGCGCGCGCGCTGCGTATTGAATCCCATACATCTTCCAATAACATTTATACCAAATTACATTTTAATTAAACAAATTTTAACAATTTTCAATAAAATGACGTTTTAATCGGCCGTTTTTTAATAAAATCACGATTTTTTAGAAAATAGCCACATAATTCATCTTTAAGATAAGCCCAGAAAGAAATCGATATTTTTATTTTTCTAGAAGATATGAATTTTTGGGGAAAAGAATGCAGATAACATGGCATTTGATCGGCAATTTTAAGATAGGATATTGACTGTACAAATGGCAAATTTATTTAGAAATCTTATTATTTGATTTATTCAATTGTATTAAATCTAATATATAAAAATATGAAGAAAGCTCCAAAACACTTTTATGCTGTACCTTGAAAGTGTAGGAAAAATCCGTTACATGTTTTGTCCGTGTAGTTTAACTACAAAATGTGTTATCGTATCATTCTCAGAATTGAATCCAGATCAAGTGAAGGAATTGGACCTCAATTCCGTTCGTAATATTACAATGCAAGATTTCCGTGACTCCTTAAAGAGAATTCGCAGATCCGTTTCACCGGCAAGTTTAGCTGCCTATGAAAAATGGAACTTTGAATACGGAGATGTAAGTCTTTGATTTGAGATAAGCCGCTCCAACAAGAGACTCCAGGAAAAATCACATTTCAATGATTTGAATTTAATCTGTAAAACAGAATTAGAAACGCGTCCCAAAGTTTCGAAACCATGTAAAGAGTCATATAATACTGTGTATATCGACGAATAGTTCTTGTGTTTTTATGCTATTTTACGAACAATATTGATGTTTACAAAAAGACGGCAGTGAAAAGTTAAACAAGATTTTGTCCTTAAAATCGTTACGACGTGCTTTCGTCTTGATGATGAAAAGTCAAGATATTCGCTCATTGTTATCGTGTTTCGTATTGAACTTGGCCATCTATCTGTTCCTCATTGTAATTTAGCAATCGCATTAAAGCAATCTTTTACGATGAATGAAACGTAAAAAAAGGCCTTCCCAACTCGGAAATTCAAAAAGTTATTGAAACTTTGGCAATACATAGAGGATATATACAGAATATGTACCTGACATGTAATCAAAATTTTTTGCTGCCCGAATTCATTCTGAATGATTAAAATCAACTTTTGATGATTTTTATTTTTTTATAATACTATATAATACATATATTATAAAATAATATACAGTATTATAAAAAAAGCGAAAATAACAATATTGAGAATAATGAAAATATATTGCTTCTGCTGTAACTTATATATTTTTTATAATTTTTTAACAAACGATTGATCAGTATTCTAATTAATAAATCTTAATGAAATAAAAGAAATAAATTTTTTCTTTAACATTTTGTTCTGTGTTTCCTTTTGTTGAATAATAAAATAAGAACAAAAGAATGGTCTAATCTTCAAAGATTTGAATTGATTTTAATTTTTTAGGGTGAATTCGGACAATAAAAAAAATTGTTTATTACGTGTCAGGATATTCTCTATATATGTATTGCCAAAGTTTCTACAATTTCTTGATTTGGGGGGGGGACCTTTCCTTTGTTCAACGAATGATTTAATGTCAAATGTTTAAAAAGTTCTAAACTTAAAAGTTTCATATTGATTTTATTAAATATAATACACCATGTATCATATCCAGTGATCGGGTATTTTCAATTAACAGTTTCAATACGTAGCTTTAATGTTACCAGTTCGATATTAAAAAAATGTGTCTTTATTACTTATGTTTATTTATATATTCGTTAGGCTTGTAATTTACGCAGTTCCTTTGTAAGTTGTTTTTTGAAATCTACGATACAATGCTGTTTATTACGATAATTTGCATTTAATATCATGATGTGTTGATTATCTATTGCCGCAATTAACGCGTTAAATACTTAATAATATGTATTTAAAAGAATACATGTGATTGAGCACATATAGTCTAGCTGTTAGAGGGAATGTATCTTTTTAAAGTTGTAAATACTTTTAATTATTGTCGTTTATAAAATTGACACGAACAAATTGAACACAATGACATGATCTGACTTATTATTGCAGCAGTAGAAAGACTGCATTTGCAAAAACGGAACAGTGCGCGTCCAATTAGATAATAAAAAATAAGGTCTATCAGTATATGCAACACATATTAAAAGGAAAAATATTATATGTAGTTGCCTAATTACTATATTTGTGCGACATAGTAGAATATACACATCAAATATGGAAACAAGTATCTCTGCAAAACGCAAAATCAAGCGGAAATAGTAAATTTTATCTTACGCACGTTGATTTTGTGTTAAGTAAATTGTAAATTGCGAGCTAATAGGTATCGTTTCAAGTAGAATTGCATATATTAATCTTGTTATATTTGATACTATTTCAAAAATTCGTTTGATATGTATTGATATATCCAGTTTGTATCAATATATCGATGCAAAAATTCGTTTGATATGTATTGATATATCCAGTTTGTATCAATATATCGATGCATCAAGTTTGCACCAGACTATGCGCGAGATTCATGATTCGAGACAGTTAAAAATTCGCAATTTATCAATCCGTACGAGATTTGTGAATAACGCAAATTGATATATTCATCGAGTTCACATTTGTTGTTTATCATTCACGTCAATTCGTCAGCAGAGCGGTTTTTTTTTTTTTTTTTAACGAAATCAAAGGGCGCAAATTACTACGAATTGCGCATAGTCTGGCGCAAACTTTCAAGAATCATGTGTAAAGAAAGAAAAAGATGATCCGAGAAAGAAGAATGTAAAATTCTGTAAGACAACGAACTGAAAATCCAATCTGTGCTATATGAAATCCTAAGCATTTATCTGTAAAGCTCTATCTACATAAGTCGCAAACGCGGACATTTCTCTCTCTCTCTCTCTCTCTTTCTTTTTTGGTCGTTTGGTTCGTTCTTTCTTTTCTCCGCGTTTGCGTTTGGGTTGTGCGTTTGCGACTTGTGTAGATGGGGCTTAAGGATTATATATAAGCTCGATGAATATAATTGTTATCATATATATATACAAGATAAAATTCCGCGCGTGCGTGTGTGTGTGTGTGTGTGTGCGTGCGTGCGTGCGTGCGTGCGTGCGTGCGTGCGTGCGTGCGTGCGTGCGTGCGTGCGTGCGTGCGTGCGTGCGTGCGTGCGTGCGTGCGTGCGTGTGTACGTATAATGTATGGACACGATTTTTATGACATTTATTTATTGCTTCCGATGCTCAAAAGTAGAATAGTTATGCAGATATAGTGTATTACACAAATTGACATATTCAACTATATTATTACAATACTCTGCAATTACAATGTGGCACAAATTTATTGATCATTCCAGATCAATGACGATCATTCGTGATATCATAGAAATAGGGTCTAATGTCTCTGTAGTTTTGTAGAGTAAAACTTATCCCGTGCAGAGTAACAATATATTAGATAGTAAATTATTTTCCAATGAGTTTTATGCAAACAATGCTTCTTTGATATAGTGAAAGAATAGTAAATGTTATTTACAGGTGAAATTAACAGTTATTTAACAACAGATCTCTTTATGTATGAATAGAATATGATTTGTTTAAATAGATATTCTATTATAGATAAAACATAAGAGATAAATGTAACTCTGACTCCGACAGCTTATTCTCCGCGACACGAAGCATAAATTTGACATTTCGAGATTCTCATTATTGTAATTAAAGAAATCTTGTGATGTTAAACAGCATTCAAGAGCTGTGATGTTACTGCGAGGATAAACTTGATATTTTCGTGGCATTTTAATATGTATTTAACTGCATAAGAATGCGATATACAAATACTCTCTTGAATTATAATTCTGCGTCTTTCTGGAAATTATGTTTGTTAATTTTTCTAAGTGGAAGCGTACAAGAGCCGCGATAAGAGTTCGATTTTTTAAATCCATTAACATGAACGGAGGAGCTTCAGCATTGTCATGATGCTGACTCAGCAGTTTTATCTCCAAATTACTTTGTGATATTAGTTTTTTATATTAATCCTTGCGCACTGCCTATGTAGATTATAATACATATTGTATTATCTATGATATTATCAAATATGAATTATGTTAGTTATATTAATTTGAAATTTGTACTAATTTTGCACAACAAACTCTTTCGCATATAACAATGTATTATTCAAAGACTTTGGTCTTCTATTATGGAACATGCCGAGTCTTGATTAAGTTATTTTGCTACTTTTATAATATATAATAGTAAAAATTGAGTAAGAATAAGGATCGCATATAATATAATATTTATGCTAAAAATTCTACTTAATACCATTTAATATGGTATAATGGTAAATGCATGAGCTACAAGTTAAAAAAAAACTACATGTTTCCGAGAGATTCGTCCCTTTAAAATATTATTTTTCTATGGTTTTGGCGAATCAGTTATATTTAAGTTGTATGTACAAGTGATTATATCAACGATTTTCAAGATCCATTAATATTGTTATGTGTATTCTTTCGCGACAAATTTATCAAATTATAATTTTTACTAATCCATTCCAAGAGAGATGTATGACCTGTATATGTATATCCAGCAGTATTATAGAGTATTTTAAGCTGTGTTGTAAATTACAAACATTAGATTGCCATACAAATTTTTACCAAATATTCTTTGGTCGTGTAGTGTACCGTTCGTAACGTATTATATAAATTCGTGAAACGTTGGCGTTAGAGAAACGACTCTAAAAAGTATATACGCTGTATCTTTTTCTATGCCATCAATTAAAATGGAATATGAAATTCTTTCGTCATTTTTGCCACACACACATACACTCTTGCCTTTCAATATTTATCTACATTCGCAAACTCACTGGAATGGTAAACTATCTTCATGATGTGGTAGTCAACAGAATAATTATACATATCTATTTAATAGATGTTCACCAAAATAACTCGATTAATCCTCCTGTAATGTAAGAATAGCACAGTAGAACTGTACAGAACTGTAAAACATTCTGATGATATTTCATCAGTGTGTCAGATTGTTTCAAGGAATACGTATCTATGAAATATGTAATAAATGTACGTACAGAGTACAAATTATTTCCCTCACATTTCTACTTACAATTAGTTTTATAAGCGAAGATGCAAATCTTTAAGATTGCATCTCACAATTTCTTTTCTTTTTTTCCTTTATTTTATGATATTAAAAATATGTTTCTATATAATTAATTACTATCTAGAGGTAATGTTTATTATTTATAAACACAATTTTTTCTTCCATCAATAAATTGTATTGTTGTGCGAATTGTATGAAATAAGAAAAAGTCGTAAATTCTGGCTAATAAAAAGATATGAGAATATTACTTTTCGCATAAATCGTTGCACAAGTGTTGAAACGGTCCCAAATGGTCTGCAATAACGTCTTCCTAGTTATTGTGGACATTGTCAAGGTGTATTGGTTGTAAAATAAAACCGTATGTATGTATATGTATATGTACATATACATATATCTGGGTATTGTTAATTTTGCGCCAAATATAATTGTGTTATACGTATATATATATATATATATAT